AGGTGAATTCGCTCGGTGTCGGAGCCGGCTCTGCGACTGCCACTGGCGGCGGGGTGTCGAGAGAGAGACGGCGGGAAAGTCAGGTCGGCTATGAAACTGGAAGAGACCGCGCCAGCGCTCTCCGTCAGCCCGCTGGTCTCTGATGAGGTGCGCCCCTCAATCATCCGTTCAATAATGTGTAGTTCAGTGAACGTTCTGTGCAGGTGTGCGCGGTGCTGTACTATCTGGTGTGTCGATGTGATCAATCACAGCTCAACATTCTACATCAGTGAGCTTACCAACATACGCCACACACGTTTTCATCGTTCTTGCAACTATCCCAAGTTGCCGGCATACACTCAAGTTGCACGAAACTTTTATTTCCCCTGCCACTCTCCTCTCTCACCGTCTCAGAGCTTGGAGAGTGTTCCACATCGAGACCTGCAGCTGAGCTCGTCAGTGGTTGTGGCCTCTGGACTTGAGCTCCGCCCAGTCTCCACCCCTGCTGTCTCGAGGGTCAGAGTCCGACTGAGAAAGTCCAGGATACCACAGGTTCATATAATACTCCATAATAATTGACTATTGAGTTTTGCTGCCTCAGAACAAGAGGTTGTACAGAGCTCAGAGTGTGGTACTCCATGAAGAGGTACATACAGTACATGGGCTGCTGCTTCTCAAGAGTGTGGTTTGTTATTCGCTTGGAATAGTTTCAACTCTGTTCTTTGTGATTACAATTTTGAGCCTTGAGGATCACACTATAGATACAAGCAGAATTTATCCCACCAAATTTGTCCCCCCTGCCAGCTCCCCATCAGATCTTTCACATCTTCCCCCAGTCACACCCTCCCCCATCACGACGGGAGTCCCTGTGACCAACAGTCCCTCCTGTCACCTCATCTCCTTTCCCAGGACACCCCTACTCCCCAGTCTCCCACCCTCACCATCTCCACTCCTCACACCTCTCCCTCCCTCCACACACCCTCCCACTCCAACACCCATCACAAGAACACCACGTCGTCACCTTTTGACCACACCCCTTCCTCACGAACTCTTGACCTCCGATCACGATTCCTTCATAAGAGGCGGAGTATGTCAAAGTGTTCAATTGTCTCCAGATGCCACTCATTTCCTGACCTGGTTCTCTAGTCTCACTGCAGGTAGTGCTCACATTCCATCTACATAATGATGTAATGATGATGTAATCCATTCAGGTTGGCAGCAGCAGGAGGTGCTGCACATGTTGATATCAGGTCTAGACGTCACCCAGCTATATTTCCTGTCTGCCATCCTGCTAGTTAGTCTCTCTCTGTTTTTCCTCTCCCTCCTCACCAGTATCTCTCGTCCATCAGTCCAGGAAGTTCAGGGACCCAGTAGGTTGCCTTCCTGAGCCTCTGGCACTCCACTTGCTGTCATACGTACCACCCAAAGACCTCCTCAGGAACTGCACCACTGTACACAAACACACACACACACACACACACGTAATCATTTACACCAATTGGGCAAGATATAGTGTCCTTATTTCAGAGATGCAACTGCTTTTAGGGAAAATATGAGAGCGGTGTCCTCTTTTCTAGAGTAGTTCCACTGTATCACTGTGGCTGTGACTGCAGGTGTCTAGAGTTTGGCATGAGAGGTGCACCAGCGAAGCTCTCTGGAAAAATCTATGTTCTTCGAGTAGACTGGGTAAGCCAGTCACCTCTATGCAGTGATTACATAGTGTCTGAAATCAGGTGTTCCGAGATTAAGGGGTGGAGCTTTGTGGAGAAGGTTGTTTATAGACAGTCTGAGGATGAAGTTCAATTGGTGGAGAGGTCGTTGTGCTGTGACCTCTCTGGAGGGCCACACTGGCAGGGTGCTGTGTGTCAAAGTGAGAGGAGACCTGACTGCTACCGGCAGCAGTGACTCCACCATCAGGTATATTAATCCTTGCAAGCTAACACAGTAATCAACTTGAATATAACACAATACTGGTGATTGAATGGTAATTAATCTTACACCACCTCTAGAATAGATCTGATATAACACACGGTTCTTTCCTCGTGCACACAGACGTGCGTGTGTTTCTCTTTCACTTGTGCAAACTTTCTCTTGTGACTGTGTGTGTGTGTGTGTGTACACTAGGATATGGAGTTTGGAGAGTGGTCGGTGTGTACAGGTGCTGACTGGGCACTCTGTGAGTTATCAGAACCCGTTCAATCCCCTTTTACCCTCTCTCTCTCTCTCTCTCTCTTCGTTTCTCTAGAAAGGGGTCCAGTGCCTTCATTTCTATGGAAAGAGGCTGCTAATTAGTGGCTCCAGCGACCAAACTGTAAAGGTTAATAATTAAACCAATGGTCTAGGGAAACAAATAGCTTCAGTCTCTATGCTGCATTAGGTGTGGAACATAGTGACTGGTGCATGTGAGAGGTAAGTTTGTCTTTTCGTCTCACATCCTCTAGTAAAGATAGCTACTGCTGCAGTACTGCAGCTGAGGTACACACAGGGACTGTCTGGTGCCTCCAGCAGAAGAAAGAGGTGCTCATCACCGGCTCACATGACAAGTCCGTAAGTCATGTGACGGTGCACGAGTGTTAGGGGGTTGCCTTGCCTGGTGTTGTATATTTTGTGTGTCTGCTGAGCTGGCCTAGAGAGCACTGTATTGCCAGGGCAGGAATCAAAGAGTTGTCAACGTTTGAGCACTCGCCTTGCATTTACACCCTATCATTCATTAAGACATTAGAGAGAGAGGTACACAAGAGTGTGAACAAAATTGGTCAGTGGCTGGCTGCCAAGTTGTGCAGTACTGTCAGTGTGCACCTTTCAGGAGCACTTCCTTCTGCCCACTATACTGCAGCACCAAAGTATGCAATAGCTAATTTGTAACCAGTCAGTTATTTCGGGAAACGAAACTTATGGACGCAGTGAGCGAAAGTCGTTCTCTGGGCATCTCCGTGCAAGGCACGGGGAGGGAGCTATGTCGCGGGCCCCACTCTAGGATTCTAGAGGTCGTCTACGGTGGAGTACGCTGCCGAGCCAAGAGAATCGACACGGCCTCAGGAGAAGAAGGGCTCAGGGAGTGCCTCGCGGGTGCCTGCGCCGTGCTAGCTCGACTGCGCCACTCGAACATCGTCCAGTTTCTCGGGACGCAAGCGGGGGACGGGTTCGCCGGGATCGTGACGGAATACTTGCTCTACTCGCTGGCCAAGGTGTTGGAGAGGCACGGGTCTCTGCCGGAGCAGCTATCACACTCCGTCCTGCGAGACGCCTCCTCTGCCTTGGTCTACCTGCACGATCTCTCCCCGCCTGTCCCCCACGGCCACCTCGTTCCAGCCAACGTCCTTCTCACCGAAGATTTCAGGGCCAAACTCAGCGACGTGGGCGTGTCGCGGTGCGTCGAGTCCCTACGAAATATTCCGCGGGAATCCGCGGCCTACCTCCCGTCCTCGCCGTCAGAGAAACCAGCGACAAAGACGGACGTTTACTCCCTGGGGGCAGTCATGGTGCACGTGGTGGGGGGCACGCACCCTGCAAACCTTCTCTCCAGCAGCAACGCCGAGAAGATCCTGGCCAAAAACCTGGGTGTTGCGGAGCGACACCCTCTCTGCGGCCTAATGCGAGACTGCCTCAATTCCGAGCCAAGCAAAAGACCGACTGCAGCCCAGGTCCAGTCCAGACTGAGCCACGAGGTGACTAAGTTCCCTCCCCTCTCAATGGAGAGCAGACTGGCGTTGGTTCAGGGGATGAAGGGAGCAGGAGGAAGTCCAGGACACCCACTGTCTTCCTCCAGGAGAGCCTCTTTCTCTCCCAAGAAAATGCTGCGTGGGACGGAGAGCGACAGGAGTCTGGCTCTGGCTATAGAGAGTGAGGCTCTAAAACTGGAGACAGAGGAGCTGAGAGTAGCTAATCGAGGCCTGCGGACAGCTCTTGATAAACAGATGAAGTTTGTGACTGCACATGACCACGAGATGGCGGCCAAGTTGATGGCGAAGGACCAGGAGATCGTGGCAAGACGGCACGAAAACAGTGCTCAGGCTTCGTTGCTGAAGGCAGCTGAGGAGAACCTGGCGGCCAAGGAGGCCACTAACAGAGGTCTCAGTCTCCAACTCCGCAGTCTGCAGGACTACCTTGCCTCCAGGGCTGAGGTGAGCTCACCCTCACCTTCCTCTCTCTCTAGCTGAATAGCTAGCTTTGCAGGAAGTATATGGAGACCAAGTTTCCTTTATATTATTATGGCTTTGAGTATATCTAAGTCAACCAGAGTGCATTACTGTGGTACTGTGGTAGGAAACAATGGTGGGATACTCTTAGGGAATTTGCTATATATAGCTTTGTGGCAAAACAAAATTCTGAGTGTCTAAGTAAACTGAATCACTCTCTGTCTGTTCTTTTAGCCTCATCTGCTGAATCCCAAGGCCCAGCTAAAATGGAAGAAGTGTGCAGATGTTCCACACAGCATGATATTTGGTCAGGCTGTCACTGTGAAGGACAAAGTGTACTTTGGCAGTGGTACCTCTCACCTGGGAGAGACCTCCTCGTCTCCCCGGATCCTCTGTTACTCCCCCGTCCAGGACTCCTGGTCCTCACTCCCTCCATGCCCCGTTGTCGGCTTCGGAATGGGCTGCTATCTCGGAGAACTGGCTCTGGTGGGCGGGGGTTACGGGTCACCTGACGAGGGGGCAACCTCATTAACAGGGGATGTCCATCTCCTTGACGAGACCCGAGGAGAGTGGAACAAGACGCTCCCGCCACTCCTGAAGCCTCGTATGCTCTCAACGGTCGTCTCCCACTCACGAGGGCTGGTTGCAGTTGGAGGAATAGTTCTGGACGCCACACACGACCAGTGCCTCAGCTCTGTGGAGGTGTTTGAGGAGCAGGCAGGCCAGTGGCATCGTGCTGCCTCCCTCCCCATCGCCTGCATCGGGATGACCAGTGCAGTAGTTGGTGACTACTGTTACCTCCTCGGAGGATTCACAGACACTGACCTCGACAGACCCACCACCCACGTGTTCTCTGCCTCCCTCACCTCCCTGGTCCAAGACGCTGTGGGCTCTCGCTGCGGACTAACCAACGGTTCACTGGAGGACCATACCGGTCCGGTCTGGTCCGAGTTGGTCAGCTCCCCACGCTTCGCGTCCACAGCTGCCAACCTCGGGAACTGTCTGCTGACACTGGGAGGCAGCGACGAGCATCTGGAGCACAAATCAGGCGCCCTCCATGTTTTCTCTCCTCTCACCAACTCCTGGATCCGTATCGAGGACATCCCAGTCAGTTGTTTTGCCTGCGCTGTTGCCAAACTCCCAGGAGGAGATCTGCTCATCATTGGAGGCATGGGTCACGATGAGGAAGACGCACTGCGCTCCGTATTCAGAGCTCAAGTTTTGCTCAACTAAACTACCCTAACCTCCATGTTTTATAGCAATATAAAATGTGTACCCCTCAGTGTGTGTATGTATGAGTCATCATTGTTCAACTACTAAGTCTCGTTTGTGCCAATTTACTCACCGCATTTCAATGTGCTGAGTAAATCTAAAACTAGCAAAACAGTAGAAATAGAAACAAGCACAACTTCTGCTATTTCCAGGCAGTGATATGGAGTGCGAGGTCCCTACAGGCGAGACTGAGTCTGGAGGGACATGGGGGAGTGGTCCTGGCAGCTGAGCTGTCAGACTCTGCCACAACTGCCTTCACTGGAGCAGGAGATGGCGTTAGTCCCCTCTCTCTCTCTCTTCTCCCCCCTCTCTCGTTACACTCTGACCTCTGTGTGCAGCTGGTGAGGGTGTGGAGGGTGGAGTGTGGTGAGTGCGTGAGGACAGTTGGAGTCATGGGAGCTCCACCAATCACCTCTCTCTCCTGGAGCAAGGTATGGCTTCTTGACAGGACTTGGGATTGCATTTTGATGGAAGTGTCCTGAAAATACTGATTAGGGAAATGCATCTAAATGTGTGTGTGTGTGTGTGTGCAGGGCTGGCTAGCATGGAGCAGTGGGACCACAGTGTCAGTCTGGGACTCCCTTCACTGGAGGAAGAGATGTGAGCTGACAGGCCACGAGGACAGGTAACCCACTCCCTTCCTCCCTCTCACTCCCCTCCTCTTATGTGTGTATATACCAGAGTGGAGTGTGTTCAGCTAAAAGTCCATGAAGAAAGAAGTGGGCGGGGCCTCGTTCTTACTTCCTCCAGAGACAGTACAGTCAGATACTGGACCTCTGGCAGGTATATACTGTTGTAGAATGTTTTACAGTGAGTGTATAGTCAACCAGATGTATAGTGGTTTTCTATGTCTCTCTCTCTCTCTCTCTCTCTACTCCAGTGGGAGACAGATCAGTAGTCTGAGAGGCCACACAGCCACAGTCAACTCCGTCTCGAGCTGTTCCTGGGCCATTGTCAGTGGCTCCGACGACCGCTCGCTCAGATTGTGGAACTTCCACGCTTATCATCCTAGCTGACCCTCCATTTTAGTCTAGTGAATGTGTATTCTAAAAGATGGGCACAGACCCAGATGATTATAAGCCATTCCGTATAATAGTGCGGAAGTGCGCACTTCCTTCTCCGCCGCACCGCGCCCGCCCGCTAAAAAGTTGGGCTGGGCTTGTAAATCAAGAGCGTGCGCATGCGTGCATCATCAGCCGATCTCGAATGGGGTGATGCTGCTAGAAGACTGCGAGTTTTGCGAGCCGGAATATATTTTATGGCGACCCGCGGGAGCAAGGTAAGCTATCAGATGTCACTCAGAATAATTATCAATGCATGAAACCTTGCTATCGCAACCTTGTTGATTTTCAACAGAATTTCATGTAACATTTGTATGAACTTCTAGCAAATTGTCATATCAAACTGTTGTGCTGCATAATAATTATGTATGCAGGTTGGTAAGGTTGCAGTGGTTGTAGGTGGGTGTGGTTTCCTAGGCCGACATCTTGTGGAGGGTCTGGTGGCCCGAGGCTATCGGGTCAGAGTGTTTGACATTCGAACCACCTTCACTCAGGAGGGGGTGGAGTTCCACACGGGAAGCCTCTGCCGGAAGGAGGTGTCAACATTACACTTACCCCATGTTACTGTGTGGATATTATTGTACCACAGGACTTGCTGCCAGTGCTGCGAGGGGCCAATGTAGTGTTCCATACTGCCTCTCCTCCTCCTTCCAGCAATGATAGGTAAGAATCCTTCATTCTGTGGATCTCTCAACATCTGTTGAATTCTTCTTCAGTCAACTACTCTGTCTCCCATCACATTTAATCATAAAATAGCCGATAATTGAAGTACATATCTGATGGCTCTCTGTTTTTCTCTCCCACACTGGACAGAGAGTTGTTCCATAGAGTGAATGTAAGAGGGACGCAGACACTCTTGGAGGCGTGTCTCCAAGCAGGTGTGGGGAGGTTGGTGCTGACCAGCAGTGCCAGTGTGGTCTACGAGGGAACTGACATCCAGAATGGAACGGAGGATTTGCCGTATGCAGCAAGTCCCATGGACTACTATACCGAGACAAAGATACTTCAGGAAAAGGTAGTTTACATGAGGATATATACAATCTACAAATCTTTCTTTCTGCCAGTCATGCAATTTCAAGTGATTTTTCCCCCGACTGCAGTTGGTGCTGGAGTTCAATGACAGTGGAAGGATACTGACAGTTGCTGTGAGACCCCATGGAATATTTGGCCCCCGAGACCCCCAAATGTTACCCACCGTCATCAACACTGCCCGTGCTGGCAAGATGAAGTTCATTATTGGGTGGGTGTTCGTGTAAAATCGCATCATGGGGTGGCAAATCATGTATCATGTATCGCATCATGGAGTGCACGTTGGGGTAAATTCGCGTCATGGGGTGTGCGTTCGAGTAAAATCCGCGTCATGGGGTGCACGTTGGGGTAAAATCACGTCATGGGGTGCACGTTGGGGTAAAATCACGTCATGGGGTGTGCGTTCGAGTAAAATCCGCGTCATGGGGTGCACGTTGGGGTAAAATCACGTCATGGGGTGTCCGTTCGAGTAAAATCCGCGTCATGGGGTGCACGTTGGGGTAAAATCACGTCATGGGGTGTGCGTTCGAGTAAAATCCGCGTCATGGGGTGCACGTTGGGGTAAAATCACGTCATGGGGTGCACGTTGGGGTAAAATCACGTCATGGGGTGTGCGTTCGAGTAAAATCTGCGTCATGGGGTGCACGTTGGGGTAAAATCACGTATCGCGTCATGGGGTGGCCAAATTGATAAGATCGTGTCATGGGGTTTGCGTTTTGGTAAACATTCTTTTGGGCTTGTCTAGAAGATCGTCAGTAAAAAGCATCATGTGTGGTGTATTTCACTCTCACATCAGAGATGGGAAGAATGTCGTGGACTTCACATATGTGGAGAACGTAGTCCACGGCCATATTCTGGCAGCAGAGAGCCTCACTCCCAACTCACTTACCTGTGGCAAGGTGCGTTGTACCGTGCAAACTTTCTAGGAACAAAATTTGCAGGGTCTGGGTCACTTTGTTGAAAATACATTACCTATGCATTGAGCCTAATGATTCATTCAGCAGGCCTACAACATCACCAACGACGACCCTCTGCCATTCTGGGAGTTCCTCTCTCAGATTCTGACAGGGTTGGGGTACCCCGCACCATCCACCCACCTCCCCTTCTGGCTCCTCTACTGCGTGGCCTGGGTACTCCAGCTCCTCGCCCTCCTCCTCTCCCCACTCCTCACTCTGAAGCCCACCTTCACCCCCATGAGGGTGGCACTCGCTGGGACACACCATTACTACAGCTGCAAGAGAGCTCAGAGAGAATTAGGGTATTCCCCACCCGTCACCATGAGGGAGGCACTTCAGCAAACTCTGACCTCTTTCTCACACCTCAAAAAACAATAGAGATTTTAAAAGTAGTTTAGGTTTTATTTATGCAGTGAGCATATTGTGTAATGTACGTTTTGTATGTGGTGTATTTATGACGTAACAGGATTAATCTTCCAATCTTTAATTTGCATCTAAAAACGACAAAAAAGAAGCTGAGCAGATAATAGTAGAAACAGGAAGTGAGAGGAAGAGTGGTTGTCAGTTCATCTTGCACTGGTCATCAGGTCTGTGAACCTCTCGGAGCCGGTCTGCCACTGCCAGGGCCATGTAGCTCATGGTGCCATAGCGACCACTGGGGGCACTGTCGTAGAAATGTACACAGATGCCAGTCGCACCTCCACAGCTGCCGACGTGACCACAACAGCAGTCCATTGCAGGCCCCGTGTGGCCCCGCTGCAGTTATATATATAACATGAGGGGCGGGGCCTTCTTAAGCCACACCTACTGACCTGATCCTGGAGGAAAAGGTGGTGGGCGTGGTGAATAATGTGCTCAACGACCAGAGTCCCCCCGAATGCCGGCTGGGTGGAAGAGGTCGTTACCAAGGAAACAACCATGAGACACTCGACGACCAGCTGGCGGTACTCTGGGGCAGGCAGACTGTTGAGATGGCTCTCCAATAGGAGGGCAAACTTTAGTTCCCCGGGTGTCATCTGGGGGCATTAATTAGGAGTAATTCAAGTCCATTAAGTGGGTGTGGCCAACCTCGTGGATGGTAGGGTTCTGAGGAAGACTCTTCATACCAATTGAGATACCAGTGCACTGCAATCAGGTGAGAAAGTGGAGGTGAACACACACCCAACGCATGCACACACAATCCTACACGTACTCTCTCCAGGATATGCCACACTTTAGGGTAGAAGTCGGGAGGAACTCTATTTAGAGCCCCGTCCAGCCTGCGTCTCCTGATCCAGTGGCCGGCCTTCTCGTCTCCCTCACTCCGCAGCTCCTCACTCCGCAGCTCCTCGCTGGCCTTCCCCAACACCTCGACGTCGTTCCTGAGCTTCCCCCTCACCTGCTTCTTGTCTGGGAGTTTGATGGAGATCTGCTTGTCAGGCATCGTGAGGATCTGTCCATCGACAAACATTGTGTCTCTCTCCACTGCAGAGGAGACCAGCCATCAGCAAGGAAGGTGGATAAGAGTGAGTCACTTACTCTCAGAGATGGCAAACTCCTTGCGGGAGAAGATGAGGTGCAGCAGTCGCTTCACATCGTACGGGTTGAGGTCCAACAACTGCTCCAGTCCCTGCTCCACTGTTTGAGAATCATGTGCCAGTCACATGACAGGTCATGTGATGCAGGAGAGAGGCTCACGTGTGCAGTTCATGGCTCTACTAAGCTCCAGCACCATCACGTTCTGAATGAGTCCCACCCTCAGACGCAGCATCTCCTGCAACAGCAGATTACGTAACTGGTCACATGACTCGTCACGTGAATGATCACGTGACCCCCGCCCACCTTGAAGAGCTCTGGTTCTGCCCTGATAAACATGGCAAGGTATATGATGGTCTCCTGGGTGAAAGCAGCTGCACTGTGATCCCCACCACACACACTCCTGATCTTAGCCACCAGCTCCGACGATGGGAGGGGTCTGGGGGGGAGGGGCTCCAGTCACGTGACTATCACGTGACATAGACACTGACTGTGTGATGTCAATCTCGTTGTTTGGCAGACCGACGGAAAAGTTTTTCTGCCGTACTAGAAGATCAGTCGCAGCCTGCAAGATAGAGAGAAAATCCGACAGCATAGAGAGAGAAAGGCAGGAGAAGTAAGACATACTGTTCCCAGGTCCTCCACTGTCTTCTCCAGGATGCCGGCAATGTGTCTCACTAGAGACCAGAGATGGAGGGTCCCAGATTTCTGGTAGAGCTCCTCAAGGAGACTGGAGAGTGTACACGTCTGTCCTCGCACCTCCAGCTGGAAACTCCGCCCACTGGAAGACAGGGAGAGAGGAGAGTTGTGTTTCTTTCCACTTGCGTTGTTGCTCGCTAAGAACACTTTAGAGCATATGTTTTTGAAACAGCAAGGGTTGTTTTAAAGAGGAAAAATTTTGGGAGAGACTAAAACAAGCAGTGTTCATGGCAATGTCTTTCACACAGCTAAAAACATTGCCCACCAGGTGTTGTGAAGGTGATTGAGAATGTCTGCCTGGACGTATATGTTCTCTTCCTGCTGCAGTCTCTGGATGAGGTCTTCGATATTCCCAACATCAAGACTGGCATGTCGCGGGGTCCCCGGCACAAAGGATGGTACCTGCAGCATGGGACGGTGGGTATAACAACGATTACGTAACGAAACTCTCCAGGAGCTGCAGAGAGTTAAAGTCTGACCTGCCCCACCAGCAGGCGATCGCTCTGGAACGAGCGTCTCTTGGCAGTGTATGCGGAGGCGAGGAGTTCCTCCAGAGGCTGGGGTGTGAGGGGACTGAGGGAGGTGGAGGAGGAAACACGGAGTGGGAGGGGAGAGGGCGTGACTGATAGCTGCGGCAGAAACAACTTGTGTTTGGTGGGCGGAGTCATTCTGGACTTCTTAATGGTGTCCATAATTGCTTCAGAGTTGCGGTCCACCTGAAATTAGCAAGATTATACATTAGCCCCTAAGAATGCCAACCAGGTACATAAGAGGAATATACACTCTCTACCAGATGTTGACTACTGAAACTGGAACCTTGACAAAGCTGCGGCGTCCAACACGACCCAACATGCTGGAGCGAGTGATCTTTGTATCGATCTGCGGAATATCCAGCAGACTAGCTAGAGTCAGCGAGAGAGAAAGAGAGAGAGAGAGAGAGAGAGAGAAATGGATGAGGTTTGGTGGGGAGAAGATGTACGTACCAGCCTTGACAGGGTCGATGAAGTGAAGTTGCTTGACTGAAGCAGTGTCCAGATAGTCAGCCATCACTCCAACCTGCACCCTGTTCACATGGAGGACATTGTTTCACCCCCTCCTCTTCCTCATCCTCACCTCACTCCAGCGATGTACCCTGCAACCAGTGCCTGCGTCAGACGGAACACTGGAGACTTGTCCCACGTACCCTCCTCCCCCATCATTGTCCTGGCAACAGCAGTCACATGACCAACTAACGAGGAGGGGTGCACTCACCGAGTAAGAGGAAGAACCATGGTAGGTCTTCCCATCAGTTTCCAGTTGGCCTTGAGGTATGCGAGGTCGGTGCGAATGAGATCCACCAGCAGTCTGTTATCCAGACAGATGTAGAAGGCCTCGTGGTCCAGGAACTGAGGAGTGAAGGCCACCACTGCCTCATGGATGTGGTACAGCTGACTGGTTCCAATCACTCCGACTGATTGCATGGGGCGCCCACTGAGACCCATCTTACTGCTAATACCTGCAGACACAGATGCATGTCTATACTGCCAGTCTGCCTGTAATGCCAATTAACATGGATTAGACATTACTTTTGTGAAGCTACAGGTACTACTTTGCTTATTCCTAGACTTATTGATTGAACATTGTTAGAGGTATGCAATAAAGGCGGAAGTCAAAAGACATCTGTTAGAGAGAAGACACCCACCCAGTTGCTGGTAGAGTCTGGGCAGGTAGTGGGCTGGGAGAATCTTGATTGGGAAGGTGGGATCCTGTTCAGCCCTGTGCACCGTCTCTGCAGTAATCCCTCTCTTCTTTAGAGCCACACTCATCTTCCTGTCCTCCGATAGCAGCACGACTGTAGGGGGTGGAGCCAACCCACGAGGCCACACCCACGTAATGTAATCATACACGATGCACACTTGAGACTCACTCTGGACGAGAGGGTCTGGCTGGGCAGCCATGGAAAGTCTGCGATTGAGAGGGTCGATCTCTCCAATATTGAGCAGCCCCTCCTCCAGCAGACCACAGAGAATGTAGAGACTCTGAGACCACATGTGCTGCTTCTTGTGTCCAGGGACTCTGTCCTGACTGTGTGGCTTCTGGTACTCCCACGACACCTGCAACCATTGTCAACCATTCCTTCTCTCCCTCCCGCTCTTCCCCCTCCCTCACCTTGTCTTCAGGGACCTGGTAGAGCTCAGGGACAGTCACCAGACCCTCACTCCCATCTCTGATTACAACTGACTCCAGTTTCTCCCGATAGCTCTTGATTGCAGGGGCGTCCCCGCGGATTAGAGCGTCGAGCAGCAGCAGTTCAAAGAACAGAGGCCACTCGCACTCTATGTTCTCGAAGACCTTCAGCTCTGAGGGTTCATAATGTAGTCTATGAGGGTCCTGCAGGGGCGACACATAACAACACATTATGCCAGACCTCTGTATTGTACCTCTGAATAAAAGAAACCTTAGACACAAAAGGTGTGCTTTGGTGTTAATACGACTGTAATAAAGGGGGCTGAGTTATAGAGAGGTGCCCGTCATTCAGAGGATTCACTGTATACCCCGCCTATTGATGTTGGCTGTCAACAAACATCATGAATTACTCAAATTATTTGCCCCCCTCGTTGACTCAACTCTCTTACCTCTTTTACAGTTTGGTATCCGTCCCTCAGGAATCTCTTGCAGCCATACCTCCCCTGGTGAATACACAGTGGGGGGCAGCCATTAGGGAACCATACAACTGATCCGTTTGGTCAATGAAAAGAAACACAACTCAGAATGTCAGAATTCAAAATATTCCACATGTAAACCTCTCCACATGTTCCTACATTCTGCGTTCCTTTCTCTGGTCAGTTTGAGGGAAACCTAATCCACCACATCCTATGCACCCCCCCCCCAACACACACACACATGAGCACACAGGCTCACCTCTAGTTTAGAGATGACCTCGGTGCGTGTGGCATCACACAGCTCAGTGGTGCTGGCTGCAAAGGCAGGGTAGCTGATTATGGTGAGGAGACCTGCGTCCACCTCCTTGGAACTAGACTCTCGAGGCAGTAGGGAAACCAGCTTCGTCTGCAGGAAGACAATGGGAAGAGAGAGAATGATGTTAGAGTCGGTAATCGTGCAATCTGATTGGTTGATGCACGAATCTCTAAGTGTACAATTGTAACACAGGTTTTTGGGTGGGGGAGTTTTGGCAAGTTTCATGAGTTATCACAGCGTGTTTAGGTTTAGAGGCCAGGAACCATGATGTTGGAGAAGAAGGGATGGAAACTTCAGGGTGGTTTGTGCAGGGTTTTTGAGGAAAGAGGTAAGAGGTGGTTTACGTTGCACTGTGCAATCTCGTCTCCCATGACATGGATGATGGAAGACGGTCCTCCACGTGACCCAAACAGGTCCAGTTCATTGATGGCTTCCAGAGCCGCCTTGGTAGAGACTCACTGAGAGTGAGGGAGAGAGAGAGAGGGGATTGGCTCACCTTTGCCATCCCAATGGAGGTAGCATTCAGCTCTGTTTCTCCGTGGTTTGTCTTGTCGCCTCTCTCCCATATTCCATAGTCCTGCATCCATCACCATTCTCACACTCTCCCCGCTCCCCAACTTCCCCCAACTCACCGAGATGTGATAGGCTCGCTCCACGTAGAACACAAGATTCTGAACGAAAGCCACCTCGTCCAGGGTGAAGATAATCTGCAGACCTCCTGCTATCATCTGAGCCAATGTCAGCAGGTAGAGAGATGTAGCGTCCACTTGTAAATGACCCCAGTTATAGTCACCAACAACGGTTGCACAGGTACCTACATTACACAGTACAATGGGAGAGTCGATATGGCAGTTCTGCGTGACAGCATCAGTTAGTGAACAGAGAGTGGGAGAGAAGGAAGGAGTGAGAAAGAAAGGAGGAAGGAGAGGAGGGAGAGCGGTGAAAAGCGCTGCACTCACTGATGCTGTACTTGGCGTGAAGTGCATCGGTTCGACTGCGACTCTTTTTGAACAGTTCCACTTTGCCTGCCTGTCTCATCATCGCCATCAGCAGACTCCTCATCAGTTTCACCACCGTCTGCAACACACAGAGACCGCCAGTCGCTCACACTCTCCCTGTCTCCTTACCTGCTCAAGATTATACGCCTTCTCCCTGTTCTCCTCGCCCTCTGCTCCCCTCCGATACACTGTGGCCAGTCCCCACACTGCCAGCACCGAGTACACGTTGTCCCTTACCCAGGCGTGGTTCTCCGCCCAACCGGCTGTCCCGTCTTCGAACAGGAAGGCAGGCAGGAGCCCAGTCACAGGGTTCTGGAGGCAGGGACAAACAGTTTGGACCAGTGGTACTTCCGTACACCGTCTCACCTGGTACTTGAGAATGGTCTTCGATAAAAGACGGTCATAGTATTCGAGTTTCGCTCTCAAGTCGCTCCGAGAACGCTTCATACTCACCCAACACCGGAGTCGTGTGTCCGTTTCGAGAGGTCAAAGGTCCGCCGCACGGTTTGTATTGTGCGCATGCGCATTACTCGCGCGCGCGCACGCACACACACACACACGCTGCTGCTGCATGCAGAATGCAGATTCTTTGTCGCGCGCAAGGCGCAACCTAGCTCCAAGAACAGGCCGCGATCCACTACTACTGCATAACGTTGAAGTTTACGATAAGATAGCTATTCCAGGACACAAGCGTATGAAAACTTCCAGGAAATTGCTGTGCGGTGTATTTCACCGCATCGTGGCTTTTTCTGGACAGGCTGCGCGAATGAGGACCGCCGCTCTCGCTCTCTCTCTGGTTCTACTGGCAGCCATCGTGTTTGTCCGACCAGCCAACTTCGTGCGAGAAAAAATCAAGCACCCGAGGCAAACTGGGAGCTCGCCGCTAGTCGGGCATTCTCAACTAGTCAGCAGCGACAACGTTCGGCTGGAGAACTGCACTAAGAACTACCGCTCTCTCCAGCGAGGGGCGTCGAGTGATCCCGGAGCAGTTGCGAGAACGGGCTACGTGCTGTGTCTGACATACCGCGAGCAGCAGACGAGGGCCGCACTCAACATGTACTCTCTGCAGTGCCTGGCAAAGACGTTACTAGTCAACATCGTGGAGCCGTTTATGCACGAGTCACGACTGGTAGTCCCGCTGGACGCCTCCCAGAAGACGATGCTGGCCTTCGGGGACCTGTTCAGTCTGCGACAATGGGACGTCCTCACGTCAAAATTCGGGTTCGCACCGCTGGTTTCTTGGCGACAGTTTCTCTCCAGAGCCCCGCGAGACCTGGTCGTGGTTCACCTGCAGTATAGGACGGTGGCGGACGAAAAAGCTGGAACTGTCGGTGGCAACTATACCGAAGGATGCCAGCAGAAGCGGGAGTTGGCGGAGCAGCTAAACTACCTGGTGCAGTACGGGTTCAACATAGTGAGGGAGGTGTGCGTCAACTTTGAGAGTGGGCAGCAGATTTCCCTGAGCCAGTTCAACCAGCACATACTTGGTCCCTACCACCCTGGAGATGTTTCCATCGTTATGGACGAATGGAGAGGGTTCTCCCCACAGGACAACGGGAAGAGAGTCCTGATCAGTGACATCGATACCTGCAGTGCTCAGCGAGGCTCGATCTACCTGCGAGCATCCATCAATCTCCAGCCGAGTCAAAGAATCCACTGTGAAGCAAGTAACTACCAGAGAATGTACCTCGGTGGAGGTCATGACTACATCTCTGTGATAGTGCGAACTGAGAAGGTAAGACAGAGTGCCAAGTCTGAGGTGGAAATGCACGAATGTCTTCAAAAGACTCTAAGACGATTGCAATTGGTGCAAAAACACACAAACCTCACATCAACGTTTCTGTCAATGGACATTGGCAAGTATGGTAGTTACAGCAGTGCAAGCGATTTCAAGGATTTCGACTACAGCGACTTTATTGCTGGAATTTACGGGAGAGACACATCAGTTGGTATGTGGGAAAGAACATTTGAGAAGGTTTCCTCTGCAGCTGAAGCTGGCTACGTTGCTCTGCTGCAGAAGGTTCTAGTGGCTGAAGCTCGCTGCCTCGTTATGGTAGGCGGAGGCTCGTTTCAGAAACACGCGATCCTCTTGCACAAGATATTCAGCAGAAGAAGAAAGCAGACTCCATGTATACACATTGTCCAGTCCTGCTCGAAGAACCTATGACATCGCCCCAAATCCCCTCTACTTATAACACATGGTATAATACGACTCTCTGATGCGTCTATAATATTGATCAAAAACATCCATTACAGTCTCTTAGAAATTAAAGTTTAACAAAGAGCCTGACTCAGCTGCTGAATTACCTCCAACTCCTCCTCGTTCCCTGCACAGCAAATCACAACCTTTCATACATCTCGTTGTCTGGGCTTTTCTAATAGCTACTCTCTCTTTTCGCACTCAATAATGTGTAGACCTGTTTTTCATATTATCCTTGATGTGTCTTACCGAGGTGAGTGGGGGTGAGATCAGGGATGGCTGCAGTGAGACGGGAGACAGCGTGTGACTCGACCAGCAGCTGTTTCACATCTGTCAGAGTCGCAACAACAGCCATCATCTCTGTGGAGAGGAACTTCATTCATGCAGTCCTCACAATGAAAGTGTTTAGGTCAAGTGGCTAGGGTTTCCTATAGAGTCACCTCTCATTGCAAGATGCCAGAGCTCTGTCAGGGGCTCTGTTGACTGGCACTCAGTAGGAATTTCAGCTGTTGTAGGTTGTTGCTCTACCATTATGGCAGATAGTGTCGCCTCTAGCACTTCAACTATTCTCTGCCAAAGGCTGCCCCATTCCACTGCACAACATGACTGCCCTATGGTAAAGTCCACCAATAGAATACTAGAGGAATGTAACACATTATTGGTGAGCAAGCACGAGCATTGCGCGAGTGTTTTTGCACGTATTGAGAATCATTACGGTAGTGACAGCGTCCGATCGCCAGTTATAGAAAATTTCCACATTGAAATGACTAGGTAGGCTCGCTTTCGCCAATATACCAAAACATTATGAAACACAACATGAAGTGATGGTTGCCTAGCTAAGTTTATTACTGCGAGTGCACTGTTTGACAATGCGGTAGCACTGGTCTTTGGGTTCAGGGTGCAGCTGCTTGTACAGGTAGAGAGCATGTCTCTGGAAGGCTCCACCCCCTACAAATAGGACACACTGAGCGCGTGTGACCAGAGCCTTCTGGAGGAGTCCGATATAGCCAGCATCTCTCGTGCCAGCGACCAGCTCGAACCCCTTCTCCCACTCCTTCACAGTGGCTGACACTCCAAACAGTGTCTGGAAGAACTTGCGGAAAGACATCTCAATCTCTGGCTGTAGCCGTGAGCGATATTTCTTGCTTCCGAAGCGACCAATGTCGATTGACAGAAAAGTTTGGTCCAGTTTTAAACTGGTTCTAAACTGCCTCCACTGGACTAGGGTCTCCTCCAGGCAGAACGGCACAACTGGAACCTTCTTATGCACAGTTAGTTGAGAGATCTCCAGTCTCCCCATGACGGCCAGGTACCTCTGACTTCCTCCGAGGTACTTGTGGATGTACTGCCCTGCCTGCTGGACCAGACGTGGACTGAGAGGTATGTGCTCCTGGACCAGAGCTGTGTTTTGACAAACGTCCTTCAGCAGGACACGCTGGGCTGAACTGATGCCTCTCCACATCTCCATGATGACAGTGAGAGAGATGGGGGACAGGTCTCCGAGAATGTGTCTATTGAACTCTCCCAGACTAAGCTGGTCTCCATAGTAGAAGTTAAAACAAACTGTACGTACGATGCGAAATCCGTTTGACTTAAGAAAGTACATATCTCGAGCAGTCGGCCATTTACCAGAGCAGCCAGTGGTATACCTGTCATAATCAGGAGTGTGGAGTATACCCTGGCCAGATCTCTGCCTGCTCTTCAACATGCTCACTGACGGATGTTCAAATTGTACCAGGACCACATCGCGAGGAGCTCTGGCTAGGAACTCTGCCCAGGACACCAGGGGAGCGTACCCCAGTTTATCTGCTTGTTGGCTCCACTCCACTTCGTCAAATGAGTCTTCAAACTTTAAGTAGCTAGTCTGCTGGGCAGTGTCTAGAGGTGTTCGCAGGAAGGAGTCGTGCATGACAGGTTTGACCACTCTCATTCTGAGACTCTGAGCCCAGCACTGGAGCTGCATCATGTTCCTCAGACCCATTGTCTGCTGCTCGTAGTAGTTCTCAGCTAGAACATAGCCTCCACTGGAACCAGTGCCTGTGCCTGGAGGAACTGTAGTCGTTTTGAGAGGTGTCTGAGGTGTAGTTGACTCTGAGGAAGACACAGTGACTTTGGTTTTTGGTACTAAAGTGGCAACTGTGATCAGTGTTTTGGAGGAGCTGGAACTGTTGGCATGAGGGGAGTCTGTAGACTGGTAGGCTGAGGAAGATGAAGAACCAGAGAGAGTAGGGGAGGTTCCAATGGTTTGGTGGGACTCAATCCAACGAGAAGAAGATGATGATGAACTTTTGAAGAGAGAAATGGGTGAGAGACTGCCAGCAATTTCAGGATCTTCAGAGTCAGACTGTAATCGAACTGAAGTTGAATCGTTTAATCCACCACGATGGACTGTCACGTTAGTTCTACTGAAGTTCTTGCCAGAGTCAGCAAGAGCACGAGCTACCTGCAGAGGTCTTCGGTGGAGCTGCAGAACCACCTCTGACTGGATGATCTCTGACCTCTGGCCAAGGAGACGGAATGAGAGACCCACAGATGACAAGTAGGGCCAGAACTACCACTCCACCAAACAACTTTACCACTTTCACCTCCATCTCTCTGAGCCAGTACTGACATCGTTAGCAACCCTGAACTCTATTGGCATGCTGTAACTGTTTGTTATAAAATTCCTATTGTAGGCTATGGAATGCATCCATGCTTTGCGCAAAGATTCAGAGAAGCAAAATGTGCAGTAACATTCTTCACTTCCTTCGCAGTCACCGGGGTGAATATACAGCTAGAAGACAGCATGTGGCAATCGAAGAAGGGGAGATTTCTGTTATTAGTTGTAGTTGGAGCAATCCTGACTGCAGTTGAACTACTCCACATCGACTGGTTCCCTGGCAGACAAGAGAATCTCTCCAGCAGAGGACAGTACGTGGAACAAGCCACTGGCACTAGTTCTGACAGAGAGGAGCTACCAGCAGTCACCACCAACACCAGTTCAAAAAGACAGACTCATCCTTTGGCCAGACACCTGCACACCATCTCTACAAACACCAGTACAGAGTCAGTTGTAATGGAGACAGAGAGACTGAGACCTAATCACCAGAAACAGGATCAGAGTTCTGAAGGAGACAACAGTAGTTCTAGAGGAGGCTACGTTATGGCAGTGGACTATTGGGAGCAGCAGACATCAGGGTCTCGGAACCTCCAGAGCCTCCAGTGCTGGGCAGCTCAGTACAACCTCTCTGTTGTGGAACCTCTCATCTCCAGATCAGTGCTCAAAACACCACTCACTAACCAAGTGCTCAAGAATATGCTGTGGTTTCGAGACTTTTACAACATAGACAAGTGGAACAGACTGAGCTCTGCACTGAAGCACTCTGAACTGGTCGGCTGGAAAAACTTCATTAAATTTGCCCCACGAAATGTGGTCCTTGTTAGCTTCAGACATGCATATCCCAAAGACATCAAGCAAAACTTGGAGAAGTTCTCCAAAAGTGAACATCATTCCAGATCCCCCTCCCAGAGAGTCAGGGAAGGCTGTCCAAACAACTGGGATACTGTCAAACAGTTCATTCAGACACATCAGTTCCATGTGGCCAGAGAGGTCTGTTTCAACTTTGCCTATGGAGACGGTCTGAGTGGAGAGGAGTTCAAGTCTGATGTGTACGGCTCTCTCTCTCCCTCTGCCTCCACTGTGGTGTTCAGTCAGTGGAGAGGCACGGGGCCCTCCTCAAGAGTACGCATCACTGACAGCAAATGTGTGAACAATTACGTCCAGGAAAAGGTGGGGCCCAGTACACACCTCCTGTCCCATGTTGAGCAGTACCAACAGAAGTACCTTGGTGGAGCTCAATACATTTCAATCATAGCTCGCATGGAGAAGGTCCAGGCACTGCTAAGATCCAGACGAGGCCATACCACCCTGGAACAGTGTTTCTCAAAGCTCTTGTCAGTTTGGAATGAGACTAAGAGTCAGTATGGACTGGAGCACACTCTACTGTCCATTGATATGGGGAAATACGGCAGCAACTCCATCCACCATGCAGGCCAAGGCTCTGAGCTGAATTTCAGGTTCAGAGATTTCTTCAAGACACTGTATGGCGGTAGACTGTCAGTGGAGGAATGGGAGGACTCTTTTGAAGACGTGGCCCACATCTCAGACCCTGGCTACGTGGCCGCACTGCAGCAAATGCTGGCAGTCCAGGCACAGTGCATAGTTTTCATTGGCGGAGGCGCGTTTCAGAAACATGCACACACTATATACATGAGCACCCACCAGAAACACAAGTGTGTTAGAATCATTGACATGTGTACATACCCTTTCAGAAAAAGTCCACATGATGTTGTTTATTAGCACAAGAAGAAGTATAGCTTCCATTTGCATTCCAATCTGAGATGCCAACAACCTAGTCCAGTAGCTAGTTAGTATCAGTCACTCTAGTCATGAGCAGTAGATGTAGGGGTGAAGATGAGTCTTTGGAGAGCTATACTAAAGATCATGACACTGTGTTGTTGTCTCATATTGCTCAGCATGCTAACTCTGCTCCGCTACACTCTGAGGCAGAAGGAAAGTTATCTGGTGGCCCTGGACTCAGGTGAGGGACTACCAGCCTTCACTGGTGGCCAAGAGCAGTGGAGAGAAGGCCGGGATCAGAGAGTTGTGACCAGCACAACTCCACAAAACACTATTGACTATGAGTCCACTGAGAGAACTGAGATCAAGGCACGAGTCTCTTCCAGCACCTCAGACACTCAGAGACCAAGACCACTGCCTCACTTCAACCTTCAGAGTCTTCTACACATGAGCAATGACACAGCTTTCCTCCCTCCAAATCACCAACAATACCCTCCTTCCACATGAGACACACTACAAACACTCAAAGCTATATTTAGACGATGTCTTGTCACCTCGCTCACCTGGTGGAGGCTACGTTGTGGTCCTCAGAGTCTACGAACAGCAGACGATGGCTTCAGGGAACCTGCTCCAGCTGCAGTGCTGGGCCAGCATGCTCAACATGTCGGTGGTAGCTCCGTTCATGAAACTATCGCAGATGGTGACGCCACTGGACGAGACACGACATGCCAGCCACCTCTCCATGTGGGACACCTTCAGTCAGACTCACTGGGAGACACACACCAAGGCCCACGGCTACCTTCCCCTGGTGGACTGGAGACAGTGGGCAAGGAAGGCTCCTCGCAAACTGATCGCTGTCCAGTTCAAATACCCACTTCTCTCACAAGTGAAGAAGAAAGAAAACGAGTTCAGAATGAAATTCCCCCACCCTCTCACTGGAGATGACTACAGCCGAGGCTGTGAGTTCAAGTTCCTCTCTGGGAAAGCCCTAAAGTTTCTCAAGAGCAACGGTTTCACTATAGTCCGCAGGGTGTGTTTCAACTTTCTCAACGGAGATGGCTTTACATTATCACAGTTCAGGGAGCACATATTCGGGGGCTACCTGCCAGGAGAGACGAGTGTCATGATGGACATGTGGAGAGGTCTGGGCGAGCCCCAGCGAGTCCTCATCACTGACAAGATCTGCAGAGAGCAGCATCCGTTCAGAGAGCAAGTCCAGCCCAGTCCACGACTGGTGGCTGATGCTCAAACCTACAAGGATAAGTTCCTGGGACCCCAGGACTACATCGCAGTAATTACGAGGTTCGAAATGACGGGGCTTTCCCGCCAGTACGAACTGATTAACGACACGCATGCAGAGATTCCTCGCTGCATCAGAAAGACACTGTACCAGTTGGAGCAGTTGCGGAGAGACACTGGGATCCAGAACAGGTTTGTCTCCATTGACATTGGCAAGTACGGGAGCATCAGTTTTGCCAAGAAGAAGTACTACAACCACTTGCATCAGATGGTGGAGTTTGTGCGAGTGGCGAGCGGAGGGAAAATGGCAATGTCGGACATTGAGAGGACCCTGGAGGCAGTCAGTGGGACCACAGACTCTGGATACATTGCTAGTCTCCAGCAGTTGGTTGTTACCAGAGCAAAGTGCATACTGTTCATGGGCGGAGGCTCATTTCAGAGACACGCCCTCCACATGTACCAAGACCTGCACCCTATGAGACAGGACCAGTGTGTACACGTGGTGGAGTCGTGTACTAACCCCAACCGACCAATCAGATAGCACAGCAGCTCATTAGCACATACCTTGTTCTTGGCTATCATCATCCACAGGAGCACTGCCTCCACTGATAACCTTAGACTATCCATTCCTGCAGTAGGACACATACACAGTGGGCAAGTTTATTTCCTATTGATTACTGATTTCAAGATCCCCTTGAAAGTTAAATCCTTGCAAATTTTATTGGCATCTGAATTTAGGTGCATCAATTGGACAAAGCATTGTGAAATATTCTCCCTCGCTGGCCCCACCCACGTGGCTGACCAGAGAGGAGCAGTCTGCTGAGTAGTCTTGAGAGCTGGCAGGACACACTGTCACCTCTCAGTCCTGGCTCACCCACACACAGCGTCAGTAGGACCTCCAGACACAGAGAGAATGATGACACCGCCTCCGAACTGAAGACAATTACAAACACTCACTTCTTAGTAACTATACAGTCAAGATAGTGGAAATCAGACCTTACACATTGTAAAACTTGGAATAGTTAATAAAACATGCACAACGCGTCAAAGGTCTGAATTCTACCGAAACGCAGCACACAGGTCTCATACATGTATATACCTCATAGAGGTGCCATAGAGAGCAGTCATGAAGTCAACCAGGAGCTGAGGTAAGGCAGTCTTCACTGCAGCTCTTGCAGTGTCCTCTGCCACCAGGTGGGACAGTCCAGGCAGCAAGAACATCAGTGGATTCTCCAAACATTTCTCAACCCCTCCCTTGTTCTCATGTAGGTGACTCTGACACATCTCCAGTAGTTTCGGTAAAAGGTTGTAGAGTTTTGAACTAACTGCCAGCGTTTCCTCGGCCAGCCACGCCCCCAATACTCGTACGATGGCGATAACGAGGGGGTTATGGTGAGGAAGGGGAGGAGGGAGGGAAACCAGGAAGTCGGTGGTTGATTTGAAGGCCTCAGTGAAGGCAGAATGCAGCTGTAATATATCTTCTTCCGTCACTGCTGCAAGTAAATATCATAGTGTACTCTCCAGCTATGGTGTTGACAAAGTTTGGAGCGAGATAGAAAAGGCGAGCGAAAAAGCGAAGATTGAGAGAGTTGGATAGGAGAAAGACGTGGGTAAGGAGTGCGAGGGCCTCACCACTGCAGCTGGAGGTCTGGACAGCAGTGAATGTCACACTTGACTCCAGAATGATGCAGCAGGAGCAGAGGAGGTCTGACTGCAGGGATTCCAGTCCCTCCCTCCCCTCCAGACATAACCTCATCTCCTGTATACATACACACCGCTTTACCTCACACTGTATCAAGAGTGTGAGTACCAGAGAGGCAAGGTTGGCCAGTAGTCTGAAGAGCTGGCTGTTCCCTGTCACGAGAGTCCAGTCAGCTCCACACTGTGAGCAGAGACTGGCTGCCAGGAGCAGAGCCGATGCCCTCATCTCTCCACCTACAGAATATAGTTATTATCATAGTTAGAGAGAGACTGAGAGGTTTGTCTGTGTTGTTTCACTGACTGATCTTGCTGGAGAGGATATCAAAAAGCCCAGAGGCAACGTCTCTCATCCAGCGTTCATTGCTACAGACCATTGAAACCTGTTCATAATGATCTCATCACTTCAGTTGCTCTATATATACACTCTATGCCAGCTACTCACCCTGCCCAGGGTCTCCAGTACTGAACATAGATCTCTGCACAAATCAAACTTCACCTCATCCTGTCAACAAAGAATCAACAGTTAGTGCATCAGCTTACAAACACGTTTTTGGTCCGCTACTAGAATAACTCTTGAAACTCTACATTGATAGAGCAATGCCAGTTTATTCTTTACACACACCTGTCTGTGTTTGAATCCAGAGGCAAGCATACCAACCATCTCTTCCACCTGCTCTCCATATCTGATTACCACTGCCTCTTGACCCAGGAGTCTCTCCAGTAACAGTCTCAGAGATTCCCTCACTCCCTCTCCTCCCTCTCTCTCTGCCAACTGACTGGCTACAGTCTGCAGAGAGCCGTTGCTCAGCAGAAGGTGGACTCCTTTGGGGCTGGCAGTGAGAGAGAGGAGGAGCTGCAGGCAGTCCTGACAGAGACCGTCTCTCTCCGACCTGCACCAGAGGACACATACACTTGCTAATCCTCTACATATGACTAACCTGCAGGAGATGAATTTCAGTAACAGAGGGACTTTAGAAGTTACCTCAGAATGTGTGGCCTGCAGCAAAGAAGTCACCATATTCTCTTTAGTACACAAACACACACACAAACACACACACACACACACCAGCTGAGGGTCAGTGGCAAAGCAGGCCAGGAGAGTCACTGCCAGCTCCTGGTACTGATTGGGGACGTCAGAGCTACCTCCTGCCTCATCTTCGGTGTCTAGGAGTCGATTGACAAACGAGAAACCGACGGCATCAAATATTTGCCTTCTCTCAACCTCGCTCATTTCCCCGGCTCTCGCAACTTTAGCTATCTGCACACCAATAAAACCCTCAGCTCAAAGACTAGAGAATGCGCCAACTGACCAGCAGTAGCGCTGCAATCTTCTCGTTGTCCGTACTTGCTGTCCTTAGCATCTCCAAAGACGGCTCTACTGCAGCCATGGTGCACTTCAATTAGAAAAAAGTGTCGCGGGGAAAACCCTTGCTGACTCAGCTACTGACATCATCCTCACAGGTCGAGATATTCTCTTTGCAGGGAGCACATAGCGTGATAGAGACCGAAAAGCATGGATCTGGAGAGTGTCTTCAACTCGGCTGTGACGGGAGAGAAGCAAGGGAAGTCTGTGTGGCAGGCAGAAGTTGCTCTCAGGCTAAGTGAGCCAGCAGCCAACAGAACCGTCCCATAGCTATAATATTGCACGGCCATTCAGGTTTCCTACGGAAGGTGTACGGGATACTGACAGCTCAGTTGGGGCTGACGGTGCTGGTGGTGGTGATTTGTCTGTCTGTGCCTCAGATCAGGGAGTTTGTCCATGCCAGGTGTGTTCCCAACTTGCTCAGCCAACTCTCACTCTTTCCCATCCTCCCACAGTCCTCTGCTGGGTCTAGTGCTGGTGGTGGGTGCCCTGGTATCTCTGTTTGCTCTCCTTGCCATGAGGCATCAGACACCTGCCAACTACTACCTCCTTGCCACCTTTGTCAGTCTGCCTTCTTCCGGTCTTGTAGTTTAGTCTCTGCTCCTCTCTGTAGACGTTTCTGGAAGGTCTGTCTGTGGGAGTTGTGGTGACCCATTACGACCTGGATCTGGTGGTCAAAGCCTTTGTCATAACGACAGGGGTTTTCCTGGCGTTAACGGCCTACACCATGCAGAGCAAGTACGACTTCAGTACGTGGGGAGCCAGGTCAGTCTATACCATCTCAATCTAGCAAGTAGTTCTCAGAAGAGGTGGTCTACTGAAAGGTTAACAGAAAATTCCCCGGATATTTTGTATGCTATTGTCTTTGTGATTTCTCTGCAGTCTGTTTGCTCTGCTGTGGGTCCTTCTGCTCGCCAGCCTCCTGCAGGTAAGTCTTGGCCTGCACTCCATCTCTCCTCTATCTTTATGTCTGTCTCACTCTCTATCAGATATTCTTCTGGAGTGAGGCTCTGGAGTTTGTCATCTCAGTGGGCGGAGCTCTGCTCTTCTGTGGGTTCATTCTATTTGATACCCACCTCATCATGCACAAGTTGTCTCCGGAGGAGTATGTCATGGCATCAGTCAACCTCTACCTCGACTTCATCAACCTCTTCATCTACATTCTTCGCATTCTCCAACACTTCCGCAGAGACTAGTGCACTGCTAACACTGACATCATGTTTCTGTTGTTTTGTATGTTAAAGTCGTAAGGGGCAGATACATACAGGCCCAAAATATGCTGTAATGAATGTAAGTCACATGCATAATTGCCGATAAGCCTTCAGTGGTTCATAAAGGACCCACCTAAAGCGACATATACACAAAGAGTCATGAGTGAAAGAAAGAAATAAGGGAGTCAAAGTCACAGTTGTCCAGTAGTTCCATAAGCTGTGCGACTTTGCTCTGGGCATTCTCTCCCTATGATTACCAAAGGTTACAACACCACATCTCACGTCTGGTGGACCAGATACCTTGAAACTGGCTCTGTCAATGAGAAGATCTGTCACAAGAGCTGCAGTACAGAGAGAGAGAGAGAGAGAGAGATAATTCGGGCCTCTGAGTGTGAATGAGTGTAATAATGTCACCATAGAGTCTTTCGATCATGGCTGGCTGCTGTTTCAACTCTTCCTGCATGGCAGTGGCATTCTCTACGGAGGAAGAAGACAAGTGAGAGAGGTACACAGGGATGTTAGTGTGTGTGTGTGGAGGTCCTACCCAGGATATACTGACACTGAGGAGAGAGGCAGGAGGAGGGGTTCTGTTCATGTATCTCTATCTCCTGGAGACCTTCAACCAGCTGCACATTCTTGGCCAGCATTATCTGGGCCTCAAGTCGAGGGTGAATGATTCGCAGCATGTGCTCCACTGATGCCTCATCCAACTCTATTGTAGCCACGGAAACAATTGACACCAAACAATAAAACATTGGTGCACCAAACAATTTGTGTGGCACGTTAATTGCTCTGAGCAGCTAACTGGCACATGAAGAGACTGACCATGAGTGATTTTGACTGCAACCTTCTTGAGAGCAGTTTCTTTGGAGAGTACCTCTCTCAGGACAGACACAGTGGACATGTTGTCAGATCTGAACACCACCTCACCCTTCCTACAGCATTATAGTTACCACCAGTGTATTACCACACACACACACACACACACACACACACGCACACACACACACCTGTACAAGACAGCCAGCTGGGTGTGGATGAAGGTTGACTTGAAGAACAGAGCAGCAGAATCTTCAACCGGAGGTCTCGCGGGGACGTCAGGGAGACAGAGAGCCACCCAGGAGTGGGCCTGGCCCAGCGAGAACTGTCCACTAACTCTCAGGGTATTGCACGGTCTGTCAGTATCAGAGTGGAAATAGTTAGACCTACTACTAGCGGGTGACTTTAGAGGGAGAGACTTAGGATAATCACAGGAGATAATATGGGGAGCTAATTATGAATTCACAGGTGTTCTTTATCTTCTTGGGAGTGACTGACTGAGGGACAGACCTGGACTCATCGAAGGAGTGCATTCTCTGGTGCAGAGACAGAGGTTTGATGGAGTAGTGGCGAAGACAGCATGTCTTGGGCTCCAGTCGAGGGGTGATGAAGGCCTGCAGCGTACCCTGCTGACCCTCGATCGAACGAACCTTCACCTCCAGTCTCGTGGCATCGTGACATCTGAAGGTGGCCAGGAGAAAGTTTCCATTCTGTTGGTTGAAGAGACCTGATTAGGGGGACCCCTAGTCGTTAGGTGAGCGTTACCTCAGGATCAGGAGGAGAATGACTCACTACTGCTGAGCTCTTGTCTACCTCTTGCAGATCCACTGGAACATCACTCTACATAATATAACACCACAGAGAGACAGTGGTGTGGGGATTTGAGAGGTAATCATGTTACTACCTGTAGAACAACCATGTCTATGGGAGACTGGAGCTCGATGGAGAGAGTGTACCAGGCCTCGTCCTGGTTCAAACTGAACTTGTCATTCACTTGGAACGCAGGCAGTGCAGACACTGCATCTGATCCACTCTGGCAATATCAGTCACAGTCAATGGAGCAGTATTAGACATGTATCAGATGGTACCTGAGCTGCTGCCACTGTCTCCTGGTACTGCTCCTTGGCCACACCCACTTTAACTTCCAACGACTCCACCTCCTTCCGTAGGCTCTCCAGCTTCTCCTTTACCTGTGGGTGTGGCCTGTTACCATGGATACAGCCCCTCACCCTCAGACCCCACCTCCTGAGAGAGAGTTTGCTGAGTCAGCGGTTCTCTGGTGAGTCCGATAACTCGACCGCTGAAGGTGCAGACAACGACCTCCTCGTGGTGGGCGGAGCCTACAGATCCTCCGCCCACTCCTGTCACACTCTCACCCATCACCTGGGCACAAAACAACAAGTTACGGAAAACATGAGGTGGTGAATAAATTTCGTGAAAACTTTGTTGATAGGGTTTACTATATATGTTGTGGTACTGACGTGGGTAAACTTGAGTCTCGGCTGGTCGGAATCATCCATGGAGTAGACCTCCACTACTCCATCATCCCTCCCCACCACAATCTCCTCCACTCCGTCTCCGCTCAGGTCAAAAGTTGACAGACAAGAGACCCCTCCATACCTGTACAAACATACATACACAACAGAGAGAGTGGGGCTCAGTGGCGATGCTGCATAGCGAGAAACGTTGACATTCAGTAGCAAACACGAGACTGACTTCCTGTCATTGAGCATGTCCCAGCAGTAATTGGGTTCTTCTGCCGTCAGTTGAACCAGACCCACTCTCCCTGTCTGGGTGCCATAGAGTACCTCGTCCCCCTCCCTCCCTCCTCCACTGCCCTCCCCCCATAGTCTCATACACAGTGGAGGTCCAGCCACCTCTACTTCATACTGTAGCTCTGAGCCCTGGCAGGAGACAAGGATCAATCAGGTTGGGGAAATGAATATGACCGTCCATTAACTGATTACTTCATCTTACTAGCCAAACACATTTGCTTTGTACGAATACAAAGTATCACTTTTAGGGATGGAGTTGCAACAAAAAACACAAATATGTGAATATGATAGAGACCTTGAGAAGTCTGAGAGAGCAGTCCTGGCAGGCCAGGATGGGGCTGAGTGGCCCTGGCTCGGATGATGGAGGAAGACAGAGAACATCGTTGATCTTGTCGGAGCAGAGATAGTAGTCGACATCCTTGCAGTCCAGGTAGTGGTTGTAGACATAGGGTCCACACACCAGCAGGTGGCCTCCCTGCACATGCCTGCAGTAGAGAGAAAGACACACAATCCTCTCCTCTCCACTGAACAGGACTCATCACATGCTGGAGATGGGCTCCGTGAGGTTTGTGTCAAAGTTCAGAAACTGTTTCCCCTTCTTTGAGAATCCCTTGACCTCTGTCTCAGAGCTGACAAATATCTTGTCACTGAGACCTCCCTCTGAGCCACCTGGAGCCAGTCTGTCTCATACCCAGTCACCAGAGACAAGAGGACTCACTTAGTTTGAGGCAAGAGATCTTGGCTCCTGGGAGAGTCTTGAACACCATCTGCAGAGAGGAACAGTGGAGATTATTGAGCTTTGTTAACACACCATGCAGCATGAAGATAAAACTTTTGCTTCCGAATTGTGATTGATAGGGCTTGTTGGCCTCAAAATTACTGGTAAATTTCGGGTAGCATTTTGCAAGCAGAAAGCTGTCTGTGGGTGTTTGCTGCACTAGACTCACACTTGCACTGCCTCTTTTGACACCAAAGCAGGTGAGGACTCCAGTCTGGTCTCCTACCACCACCTGCGACACCCAGACGACAGTACAACATCTGCAAGGAGAGGCCAGAGTTACCTTCTGAGACGTTCTCTTGGCACTGGGCAGGACGGCCAATGTCCCGCGGCTCGTGGAGTCAACCTGCAGTCAGAACTTACTCACAACGTGCAGGACGTCGGGAAGCTTACCTTGATGTAAAACACTGGACTGAATTGCAGCTCCATGACTCCAACGAGAAACCACGCCCACTGTGCTATCGGAGCATGCAGTTGCTATGGAAATGATGTCATTTACGTTTCGCGCATGCGTAGTAGATACTCAGGTGGCTCTCTGTGTGTGTCGTCTCGTCACTGACCCCGTGTTTGCTGAAGCGAAACCTCCTCTATTCTCTGTCGGTCTCCTGGGGCTAGCGGCTTTTCATACCGGCCTACCTTTTTTGCAGCAGACGTTCATCTTCTTGTGTAAGTTGGCTGAACGTGTGTCATTGACTGCGCCCTTGATACGACTGTGTAAAACTAAAACTGTGTGTCGGGGGACGCGCGCTGTGCGCCTGCGTGTTTTGCAGCTCTATGCCTTCCTAGATGCTGGAAGGAATCTATGATCTGCTGATGCACATGTTGGGATTGGTCTGGGGAGGAAGTTTTCTGAACGAACTGCCCCTCTTTATTGCATGAACCCAATTACGGTATAGTAGTACAAATGGCTGCGTTAACCACTGTGGGGGTAGCCTGGTGCTCTGTGTACAGGTGTAGTCTCTCCCCTTGTTCTGGGGCTGGGTGTGTATTCATGACTGCCTGGCATGCTGTTAGTGCACTTCCCACAATGGCACTCAGCAATCAGTGAACTGTGAATATCTCCTTTTACTCCCCCTGCCCTGCAGAGTGTGAGCAAGCAGTCATGTCAGAGGACACACCCACCGAGCCCCCAGCCCAGCAGCAGCGAGAGAAACAAGAGGCCTCTCCTGCCAGCCACCCTGAGGGAGACAAGGCTGCAGAACCTCAGACACAGGAAGAGGAAGTCAAGAGCAAGCCAACCCCTGCCCCTGCTTCTGCTCCTGCCCCTGAGTTCGATGTGGTGAAGCAGGGATTCATCCAGAGACAAGGTAGGGAATAGGGGAGTGTGCGAGGGTTAATACGCTGATGATGTGAGTTGGTTCGGTGCAGGTCATCTGTGGAAGAATTGGTACAGACAGTGGATGACATTGGATGAAGGGGGCGTGGCACTTCGCTGGTACAAGACTGAGCAGAGAACTGGCAATGACGGAACTCTCTACATGAGGTGTGTCTAGTGTGTGGTAATACATCCACGAGATGGTGCTTTTCCGTTCCACAGCAAGTGTGCAGAGGTGTGTGAACCAAAGGAAGGGCTCACTACCAACTGGCCTCCTGAGGTGGAGGGGCGGTGCTTTGTCGTATGCAGCCCCAACAGAGCTCATTACATCATCGCTGAGTCCGAGGACGACAAGAAGTGAGTACAGTCGAGGACAGCTTCCCCCTCCTTCAATTCTTTTTGTCCTTCACAGGGACTGGATAGAGAAACTGACGGCCGCCAAGACAAAGTTCAACACCACAGGAGTTGGAATTGTCTCAGTGAACCTCATCTCTGTTGAGGCCATCAAGGTATGGTACTCCGTGCCAGAGTAAAAGCTAGCATTTGTGAAGTTATCAGCTCAGAAGAATTTGATTCTTGTGTGTGTGTGTGTGTGTGTCAGGTGACGATGGAAGCTGAGGTCCAGAGAGCACAGGGAGAGACAGACAGAGCTCTTGCAGGTCAGGGGACCTCCACCGAGAAGATTGGGAAGGACCTGGACAAGGCTGCACAGGATATGGAGAAGGAGGTGAAGAAAGAGACAACAACTCAACAGGAGACACAGGTGAGAGAGGAGCCATTTGGTTGTAAGGTTATTGTTGTTTGAGTATATACAGGTTGTAGCTGAAAAGGTTGAGACTGAGGTTAAGATTGAAGTAGGTGGGGAGACTGAAGTAAAGATTGAAGCAGGTGGGGGTGAGGTGATGGAGGAGAAAACTGAGACAGTGAAGGAGGAAGAGGAGGTGAAGACGGAAGTAATGGTGGAGAGTGGGGAGGTGGTGGCAGAGGTCCAGGTGACCAGTGAAGAGGTGGTGGCAGAGGTCCAGGTGACCAGTGAAGAGGTGGTGGCAGAGGTCCAGGTGACCAGTGAGGAGGTGGTGGCAGAGGTTCAGCTGACCAGTGAAGAGGTGGTGGCAGAAGAGCAGAAAAAGGAACAGCCACCTGCAGCTGAAGGTACCGCGCTATCTCGATGCTCTCACGTTCCACTTGTATTCTCTTTTTAGATGCAGCAAAGGAAGAGTAATACCTCTATATTATACGACATTTTAGCTTTTTAACGTGATATTGGTTAAATTTTGTGAGTGCACGCACATGTCAAATAAGTGGCGGCTCTTATTACGTCATCCGCGCGCCAGCTGCGCACGCGTGTCGTATGTATGTATGTATGTATGTATGTACGTATATACGTCGTCGTACCGTATATGCGCGCACGCAGAAGACCTCTCGCATGGAAAGCCCACAGACCGGCGGGAGAACGGCACAGGAGGCAAGAGTGAAGCGGGATGGGCTGGCCTCCTCAGGGAAGGCTCCACTCCAGCTAACAGGGGAGGAAAAGGCCGTACTGATGGAGTGTAGGAGAAACTCCACCGCCAGAGGTAGTGTAGGCGTGGCCTGCAGCGACCTCGGAGAATGAGGTATTATCTTGCAGGTCTGGCGGTGACTGCAGGCTCTCTCGTCCTCCTGAGAGCTCTCATAGGCTCAGGTGAGCCCTCTCTGTCTCCCTCTCTCCTGACCCTCTCCCTACAGGCAGACTTCCACTGCACATCCAGAGGTGGTCTTCGCTCTACTACACCGCTGTGGGAGCTGCGAGTTTCCTGGCAGGCCTCAGGTCTTACCGACAGACCTGTCTGGACAAGATCATGTCTCTGGAAAACTCTCTTCTGGCAGACCAGCTGAGGCAACACCGCAGAAAACAGTGAGATTGCTGGACTTGAGCTCTGCCTCTCTCCCCCGAGGTCAAAGGTTTCCCTGACCCTCTAGACAGGGGTGGACTGAGGAAGATGGTCTGCCCAGCCTTATGCGTGACTCACCTCCACCTCTGACCTCTTCCCCGCTCCCTCTGAGCCAACCAAACACTGTCACCAGTGATACACCATTCTCCAGTGAGCCACACCCACTACAGTCCTCACCACACTGACTACAGTCACAGGTGATCCAGCTGACCAGCAGCCAGATGCATTTGGTCCCACTTCCCTCCCTCCACCTCCTCTCCCTGGAGACTACGACAACTCATCCTCCAAAATCAGGTTGAAAACTTCTGCTGCTGATTGCATGTTTATCTTTCCCACATACACTACGACATGTTTTGTGGTCGAAAATTCAGGGGCAGAACATTTGATGAAATACGAGACGAGAATCGCCGACGGCAACAGCAGAGACACTATCCTCAGAGTAGAGTGGGCGGAGTCAGGGGAGAAGGTGGGTGTGGCACTGCCATTGTTAGGGGAGATTTTTACATCATCTTTTAACAGACGCTGGGAACAAGCCAGTTCATGTGCGCAGAAATAAATATGGTGACATAATCTCTGAAGAGTGACATAATGGTGACATCATCTAATTATAGCAAATCAACTCATCTGATCTGAGCTCTGAAAACTGTTTTAAAAAATTGAAACGAAAACTGTTAACGCAAACACAAACCGTGGGTGTGGTTCTAAATCCTGCGGGAGGATGAAGGAGCAGACATGGGCTCAACCACTGAGGTGGGGAACAAGCCAGTGGACCCGTCGTCCAACATGCCGTAGAACATGTGGGGAGTTGGTCTGTCTAGTTCAACGAGAACATCTCCAGCATGTAGTGTCAGTTCACTGGGACTCTTGGCGGTGTAGTCTGCCATGGCTCGGTAGAAACTGGAGGGAGGTTCGGGAGACACGGAGCGAGATCCAGGTCCCGACCCTGACCCACCAGAATGGACTGGAGACGGGCCCGCTGACCCGGGAAGTGGCGAGGGGGTGTGGTTTTGAGTGTTGTCTGGAGAAGCTGGTCGATTTTGCTTTGTCTTGATGACGGGGGAAGTGGGTGTTTCTTTGGTCTTGACGGGGGTAGTCTGTACAGGGGAAGTAGGTGTGGCCTCGGTCTTGTTGGAGGTGAGTTTCGGAGGTGGCGGTCGCACAGGTGTCTGTTTTCCTCCATCTTCTGAGGTTTTCTTCACCAGACGAGGAAGAGGAGGTCGTGCCGGTAGCCCAGACCCTATCACTGGCTGCTTCTCCGTTGTCTGCCCCTCGTTCTCTGTCTTTCTTCCCATGTCTGGGGACTCGGCAACCAGGTTCTGGATCACTTCTCCCTGCTTCGACCTCGGAGTTTTGGTTGGTGAACTTGTTTCTGTCTCCACTCCTTCCTCCTTCATTGACTCTGACCTTTGCACTATCTTCCTCAGTGACCTCATCAGTTGTGAGCCTCTTGCTCGCAGGCTGTTGGAGCGAGTCGGGCTCCCCGCTGTTGCTGACTCGGCATCGCTGGTAGGTCTCTCTGGAGGAGGGAAAGAGGGAGGTTGTGAGCGAGGTTTCGGGCCCTCCACCCCAGCACTGGGTGGTCTGGGAGGCGGAGGATGACTGGGAGGAGCAGATCGAAGGTTGCGGACTGCCTCGGCAGTCTCTTGGTTCTCTGGACTCTCTCTTATGTCGTGGTCCACCTCCTCAATGGGGGTAGTGGGGTCTGGAATAGCAGCTACAGATGTTTTGGGCTCCCTCCGTCGGGGACGAATGGGCTGGTGCAAGCTGCTGGTTCTAGCTGGAGGAGGAGGCTTGGGGGAATCCTGCGCCGCAGGCTGGGAGACAGCAGAAGTCAAAAGTGAATTTGACACCCTCTTTGACAGATGCACTGGCTTTGGTTTGATTGGTGGTGGCTTTGTCTTGACTGGAGACATCAACACGGTTTCTTTCTCCTTCTCCACTTCCTCTGTGGAGCCTGGTTGGCCACCCTCACTAGTCCCACTCCCTGAACCTGCAGCTCCCTCCAACACATTCTCTCGTCACAGTCTTAGGTCCTTCAGCTTCTCTTTGTGGCACTGCTGCTAGCTGGACAGGCTGTGCAGCAGATGACTGAGGTGCCTTTGGTGAGTTTGTGAGGGGCGAGTGGGAGGAAGAGGGAGCGGCATGGTGGGGGGAGGGGGGATCAGCCTCGTTGCTGGTCTCTTTACCCTCTTCTTCTTCCTCCGGGGAGGGGCAATTGGCGTTGCTCCACCAGAGGGTGGGGCCAAAGCAGCAGGAGCTGCCTCAGCAAAGGTTGGAGTATGAGCAGACTTGGTGGGCGGGGTTTGGGGTGTGGCTAACGAGGTAGGCGGGGAAGGAGGGAGACGACGAGGTTTGTTCAGACCAAGTGCACTTGACGTCTTGCGTCCTTTGTGTTGCTTGGCAACATGCTGTTTTGTGGTGGGTGTGGCCTCATTAGTAGTGGGTGTGGTTTTAGATGAAGGAATTGTTGATTTCGTGGTAGGGGGCATGGTCTGGGACTTGTCTCCAGGTTTTGATGAAACCTGCAGATTTGGAATACACCTCATGCACATTAGCATGTCATGTGCCAAAAGATCATGTAATTACATTGGATGGAGGGGGCGGGGCCTTCCTCCGAGGTCTGCTGGGACTCTTTTTCCTCTCATATTCGACCTCTGGCGCAGGTAGCAGAGGTGCCAGTCCACCTGCAAGTAAGACAGAAAATTAAACTGTTAGTTTGTGAACACTGAACCATCGCACTCCCTGCTGCGGTGCCTCAAGCGGCACCAACTGATTTAGCAACACTTATTTGGATAGCAAGCTGTTTATTTGGAAAAACTAAGGGAATGCTGTTGACTGTGTAGGAATTTTGTGCATTCTTTACTCAGTTTTGTGGAATTTCTCTTTGTGTCCCCTCACCTTCTCCAGTCCCTTCCTGAGATTTGCTTCTCTTAAACGACAGTTTATTTCTCCAACTTCTCCTGGACGGAGAGTCCCTGACTACTGCCTTCTCCTCCTCTTTCCCCATCTCCCCTCCCTCGCCAGTGACCGACTCAGTCTCCGTCGATGGAGGCAGAGGACTACCAGCCTCCGACATACTTAGCTGCACACAAACACATGCGCAATACTTACAATTTGCTAAACTGACAATTTAGTGCATATTTTTCAGCATTAAGTGTGGAGATTTTAGTTGTACCTCGACATAAGTCCCAGGGAACCATCCGTGGTGGGTACCACATGATCCATACCACCAGCCACTCTCCTGCACCCAATAGACCAACACTGTGTCACCCTCTGAGAACTGGAGGTCTCCCTCCTGCCCCGAGATGAATGTGTGGATGGCTTTGTACTCTGGTAGGGAAGAAAGATTGAGACTGCCACTGAGAAGACTGAGTGAGGACAACTCAGTACTGACCTGTAACCTCTACTGTGTCTGATTGTAGGCTTTCTTCCATTCCTGGCAACCCTTCTCCTTCCTCCTCCCTCTTTCCCTCACCTCCCGTCTCTTTCTCCTCTTCCTTCACCTCTCTGGCTGGAGCTGTCTTGACGTAGGAAGCAGGGAACCAGCCAACCCTCCCGCCACACACCCCCTGCCACCATCCCCCCTCCCTCTTCTCCAACACACTCACAACATCCCCTTTCCTCAGAGGCAGTTCTATGTCTGTCCCTCCTCCGTAGTTATACCTCACCAGATAGGACTCCAGGTTCATGTTGGCCAATTCACTGCTCCCTGAGCTGCCCTGACTGTTCTCGGCAGAGATGTGATTGGTCAGATTAGCCAGGGGCTCACTCTCTGGGAGACTGCGTCGGTGTGTGGGGTCGACTGCCACCACTGGCCGTGCTGGCAGAGAGGTGTCGCTGGTTTTCAATCACCACTGAGTCCAGGACACTGGTACTGAATTTGGCCGTCAGGACTGGAGTACTGTTGATCTCTGCCTTGCTGAACGTTGTGGCTGCCCTGGTCCTCCGACTACTAGTGGGCGTGGCCTTGTTCTTGGTCGTCAGTGAGAGATGCTTCTCGTTAAAAGAGTTGCTAGCTGCTCTGATGGCCGCGGCCGCCAGTTTGAAGTTCTCTGAGGGATTCATCTCTCTGAAACAAAGCCACTACTACTACTTATTACCAGCTCACCTTCCTCAGCTTTTCTGTGCTCAGCCTCTCTGTCAACTAACTGTACATGTGACTTGGGGAACCAGCCCTCGCCAGCTGCCGTCTGCCCCCTCCACCACTGGCCTCCTGGAGGGGCCTCCAGTAGAGTCACCCACTCCCCTTCCTCCAGGGCCAGGTCACCTGACAGTCACATGACAGTCACATGATCCAGTGAGGAGCTCTAATGATGGTATGTGCATACCTGAGTCAGAGGTCTGGGGGTGGTAAGAGGAGACGGCTCTGTAGTGGTCAGATCCAATCTGGGGTTTCTGCTGGTAATGTCCCAACTCCACATCTCTTCCGTTCTTCTTGTCCTGTTTATTGAGGTCGACCCGACCACTGCGCAGTCTGCGGATACACAAACACAGGCACAGGACCAGGACCGTCAGAACCAGGGCTGCTGCGACCACGCCCCCAACTATGGCTCCAATCAGTACGATATCGACATCATCACCTGTGGAATGTCACGTTGATGATGGCGCTTCTTTAGTCATGTTAACAAAATCTCATTACCAGTCTGCTGGCGGGTTGGAGGAATGGTAGTAGCAACAACTGAACTGGACGGAAGAGTAGAGGTAGCGACTGAGGACCTGGACTGACTGGAAGTACGAAGTTCAACACTCGACAACATAGGTGTAGGAGTGGGCGTGGCACTGGTAACCATGGTAACTAGTACACAGGCAGACTCTCCGACTCCATTTGCTGGCTCCAAGAAAAGAACAGCAGAACCAACTGGAGAACACGGAGAGAGAGATATCAAACAGGGATAGTGCAAAAGAACGTTGCGGTCGACAAATACTGCAAGAAACTTATGATAACTTTCATACCAGATTGAGGGCCGGAGAGAGGGAGGAACGGGTCGTGGAATATGGCTGGCATTGGACCAGGAGACAGAGGGCCATGTTTGGTGGACAGATCTCCTGAGGCACAGGACAGCGGGGATGATCTGGAACAACCTTCACTGGAGCTGCGGAGGGAAATAAGATACTGTGAATCCTCCACAAAAGACACTTTTGACACTGTTTCAGAATCAGTGTTCAGATGGTTTAGAGGGTCCTTTTCAGAGTGCTCTAGTGAGAGGTTGGATGGCAGGACTCACCTGCCAATGATGGGCAGCTGTGCACAGTCCTCAGGCTCTCCAGACACACCACCACTCCGTTGCCTGAGGCTCCAGTTGTACTCACCAGTCTCTCTCCTCCTCCTCCTCTGCTGGCCTGGAGCCACAGTGGAGACGGGAGTAAAGGTGTCTGGCATGAGAAAAAGGACTGGTGAAGACGAGAGAAGAGGGAATGGAGAAGACGAGAGAAGAGGGAATGGTGAGGTGGCCAGGACCACTGACGACGTCTCGTATGGCAAAAGGAGAGACGGAGAAAGTGAAGAAGGGGTTGGTGAGGGGGTGGAGAGTACATTCGTTGTAGCAATGAGGAATGTGGTTGTGGGTGTGGCTTCAAGAGAAGTCCTCATTGGAGTTGGAGTAAAAACCTCAATGTCAGCAGAGATGTTGGTTTCCACGGTGATGATTGTCTGTGAGAATGGGTCACTGGCTCGCTGGCTGAACACCACAATTCCTGAAAAACCTTCTATCGCCAGATCAGCTCTTATCTCAATGATGTAATCATCATATTGGAGAATGCCACACCCACTAATAGAACCATCTGTTCTCTTGACGACGAGTGAACGACCAACTACACTATCATCCCCAGTCAGAGGGAGAAAGGGGTCAGAGTACACCACTCTGCCCCCAGCCTTTCCCGTCAGGTTTCCAAATGGATAAAAGTCAAGAGTTGACCCCTGTGAGGGGGAGCCAGCCCCCCGGGGATCAAATATTCCCTCTGTTGATGAGCATTCTGTTCTGGGGGGCAGGGTATTGATTTCAAGGGTGAGACCGTTGGATCCGGTCAGATTGACTTCAGTTGCGTCCAGTGGCGAAGACTGAGTCAAGACCACGCCTCCTTCCCCAGCCACACCCACCACTCTTAGAGAAGGGAACGTTTGTATGGTGGCACACTGGGTCCCCACTGCCAATATTAGGCCCTCCACACCACTGATGTCCAGTCCGGGATCATTGACAACAGCCCTCACTGATCCATTCTCCACCGACAGACATCCATTTTTTCCTCCCAAATCTCCCTCCATACATCCAGACACATTGTCACTACTACACTCCCCGCTTACTCCATCAGGATTGTAGATATTACCAGGGGCAATGGCACATTCACTCGTTGGCGACAGTATCGCCCATGGTAGCTCTGACGAGGATGTTTCTGTTACCAAGGACACATAAACAGTTTGTTTCCATAGGAACACATTGCCATTGGTTACGTTGTTTGATCTGAACGGAGCCCATAATACCATGGAGTTGGTGGGAGGACGAATGTTAGCACATATATAGATAGAGAGGGAGTTGTTGATTGCTGTAATCATTAGGGACCTTCCCACAATACTTTCCCTGCCATAGAGCGAGATGTTGGTGCAGTTCATTGAACCCTGTGTGTTGGCAGTACCTACATCTCTGAAGACAGGTCCCACTAATTGGCAGGGGTTTGGGGAAGAAGGGGGGAAGGGGAGGGAGTGGATTGCCAACTGAACAATTTCTGAACCAATTCCATCTAGCTGTAGAGAGACTGTGACCCCTGACCCCTCATGTTCCTGGGTAAAGTTGACGGATCCACTGACTCCCTCTCTGCCCACCTGAACAGCGGCTGACAGGTCTCCTGTGGGTGTTAGGGGAATACATTATGCCTCGTCAGAACTGAGATATTAGACTCCACACATGGAAATATCGTGAAACCAGAGCCAATTTTTTTGTCCATTATCAATCTAATATTGTAATTACGCTAGTTAATGAGGGATCCCACCCAACACCCCAGCCCCCACATGGCAGCTGACATCATCAGTACTCACCTCTACAGAAGACAGGGAGAAGAGCCACTAGCAGTAGACTGACTGCGCGGAGCTGTTCTGTCATAACACAGTGTCTGAGGTGAGGGGACAAGGGAGGGGAGGCTGTTAACACACTAGGTGTGGACTGTGTCTGCCTCAGCTACTACAATACACTGTACTGCATGCTGTACACATGAGTCAGTCCAGAATGCAGGATATGTTGGCTCTGGCTTCCCAGCTGAGGTTTCCAAGTCATCAACTATTATGTATCCACTATACATATAGGTAGCAGTAGATCTATTACAGACATAGGGAGTAGGGCCCTGAGTGATAATGGATGTGGGCAAACAGCATTACTGACACACTAGAGTGTCGCTGTATTCATGCCTTGAACGTTTCCTCCCTCAACCACAACAGAACGCTCACTTCGCAACAATGCAAAACATGGAGCTTAGCACAGTGCGTATTTACTAAACAAGCCGCGCGAGGCTTCCTGGATAGCACTTGGACCATTGCATATGTACACATTCTTCATGGTTGCATGCTTTCCCCCAGAGGTTACACAAGTAGCCCAGGCCTTCTCCCTATCGACGGCTGGGCCATGACACGAAGACCTATTGCTTTACATATTGGGCAATTATGGAGCTTATCAACTTACTTCTTCTGCAAATGTTCTGACAAGATCTCGCGCCTTCAGCCGTTATTTATGATAGTTTTTCTGGCTCAGGGACAGTCTGCAGCAGCAACGATCGACGATTATCTGACCGATCCCCGAGCTACAGCTCTGGAATCTGGATCCCGGCCTGGGCTACGCGTGTGGGAGGAGCATAATTTACATTTTTTATAGGCGTGTTTCAGAGGAAAGGAATTTTTATTTACGCATGCGCATAATGGATCTCCGCGACCGCAAGCACAAAATCTGGCGCACTTTTTCATCGACTTTAGCGGTGAAGGAACTGCGTAGCCATGAGTGGGGAGACAGAGAGCATGTCCTCAGACCACGAGAGACAGTCTGAGGAGGAGGCCGAGCCAAAAGGTTAGCCGCTGCTCACGAAGGTTTTTCTGGTTCATCCTCTCTTGGCAGGCGACTCCGACTACATGCCGCCAGACGAGGCGGCCGCGCAGCAGCAAGAAAGACAGCGCAAACTTTCATCCTGCAACCTGACCAGTCCGCTCAAGAGCGAGCCTTCTGGGGAATACGACCAGAAGCTGGTAGGTCGTTCTAATTGGAGCCCTCCAGTAGTGAGGCTTCGACCCACCGCCGCAGGTCAAGGACAGAGTGAAGAGGTTTGACTTTCTCCTCAAGCAGACTGAGATCTTCACTCACTTCATCAATGCACCCGGAGCCAAGACCCCAGCTTCCCCCCTCAAGCTGACTCCGCCCTCTAACTTCCCTCGAAAGGAGAGACGTCGTCACCCCTCGGCCTCCACGTAAGCCCCGCCCACTCTCCCTGGCTGCTGCTGACCTCTAACCCTACCAGGCGGCACCGTCTGTCGGAGGCGGATGAGGACGAGGACCTGCTGACAGACAATGAGCTGGAGGAGGTGGCAATCACTAGGTTTGCAGACAATCCCTGGTACATCAAGAATGGAGAGATGAGAGACTACCAGATCCGAGGTCTAAACTGGATGATCTCTCTCTACGAGAATGGCATCAACGGAATCCTTGCGTAGCCATGAGTGGGGAGACAGAGAGCATGTCCTCAGACCACGAGAGACAGTCTGAGGAGGAGGCCGACCCAAAAGGTTAGCCGCTGCTCACGAAGGTTTTTCTGGTTCATCCTCTCTTGGCAGGCGACTCCGACTACATGCCGCCAGACGAGGCGGCCGCGCAGCAGCAAGAAAGACAGCGCAAACTTTCATCCTGCAACCTGACCAGTCCGCTCAAGAGCGAGCCTTCTGGGGAATACGACCAGAAGCTGGTAGGTCGTTCTAATTGGAGCCCTCCAGTAGTGAGGCTTCGACCCACCGCCGCAGGTCAAGGACAGAGTGAAGAGGTTTGACTTTCTCCTCAAGCAGACTGAGATCTTCACTCACTTCATCAATGCACCCGGAGCCAAGACCCCAGCTTCCCCCCTCAAGCTGACTCCGCCCTCTAACTTCCCTCGAAAGGAGAGACGTCGTCACCCCTCGGCCTCCACGTAAGCCCCGCCCACTCTCCCTGGCTGCTGCTGACCTCTAACCCTACCAGGCGGCACCGTCTGTCGGAGGCGGATGAGGACGAGGACCTGCTGACAGACAATGAGCTGGAGGAGGTGGCAATCACTAGGTTTGCAGACAATCCCTGGTACATCAAGAATGGAGAGATGAGAGACTACCAGATCCGAGGTCTAAACTGGATGATCTCTCTCTACGAGAATGGCATCAACGGAATCCTCGCTGATGAGATGGTGAGCCTTTGCCTCTTCTTTTCATGTTATTAACCTCTCCATTTCTTACACCCATCCATCTACATATAATGTCAGGGTCTGGGTAAAACACTGCAGACCATCTCTCTACTGGGCTACATGGTCCTCATGCGCGACGTTCCCGGACCCCACATTGTGATCGCCCCCAAATCAACTCTCAGTAATTGGGTGGGAGAGTTCAAACGCTGGTGTCCATCTCTCATCACCATCTGCCTCATTGGGAGCGCTGAGGAGAGGGTGAGTGTGTAAAGTGTGATGGTGAATATGTGAGGGTGTGATGTTGATTGGGGCGTACCCCTATAGAAAAGGATAATCAGTGAAGAGATAATGCCGGGGGAGTGGAATGTGGTCATCACCTCGTATGAGATGGTGCTCCGGGAGAAGACCACCTTCAAGAAATTCAACTGGCGCTACCTTGTCATCGACGAGGCCCACCGCATCAAGAACGAGAAGTCGAAATTGTCGGAGATAGTTCGAGAGTTCCGGACCACCAACCGGCTCCTCCTGACTGGGACTCCACTGCAGAACAACCTCCACGAGCTCTGGGCTCTCCTCAACTTCCTCCTCCCCGACGTCTTCAACTCTGCTGAGGTAATTAGTGGGTGAAGTCTGTGGGTGTGGTCTATGGCCTCTGTCTCCAGGATTTTGATGCGTGGTTCAACCAGAGTAAACTGGAGGACAAGAAGTTGGTTGATCGGCTGCACACCGTCCTCAGGCCCTTCCTGCTCAGGAGACTGAAAGCTGAGGTGGAGAAGAAACTTCCTCCGAAGAAGGAGGTCAAGATTTATGTCGGCCTCTCCAAGATGCAGAGAGAATGGTGAGCACTAGTGAATTGGGCTTCAACAACCTTGACAGCGTGTTGCAGGTACACAAAGATCCTGATGAAAGATATTGATGTGGTGAACGGAGCTGGTCGCCAGGGGAAAATGCAGCTTCTCAACATTCTGATGCAGCTACGCAAGTGTTGCAACCACCCCTACCTTTTTGACGGAGCGGAGCCAGGTGAAGCCATACTGCTAACCTCACACCCTCACACCCTCCCCACACTCCCCAGGTCCTCCGTACACCACAGATTTTCACATTGCGGAGAACTCTGGGAAGATGATGGTTCTCCACAAACTGCTCCCGCGCCTGAAGGAGGAAGGTCATCGGGTCCTCATCTTCTGTCAGATGACGAGGATGTTGGATATACTGGAGGACTACTGTCTGTGGAAGGAGTACTGCTACTGTCGACTGGATGGAAACACAGCTCACGTGGACCGTCAGGTCAGCCCCTCCCTTCCTCTCTTTCTCTCTGGTTCATAGTCCATGCTCCACACAGAACTACATTGACGACTACAACAGTCCTCAGAGTGACAAGTTTGTCTTCATGCTGTCCACCAGAGCAGGAGGACTGGGGATTAACCTGGCCTCTGCTGATACTGTCATTCTCTTTGACTCTGACTGGAACCCTCAGGTTGACCTGCAGGCTCAGGTGAGGAGCACTGCACCCAGTAGTGTCGAGGGTTTTCAAACATACACTTCCTTGCTAAATTGGAAATGCAATTGTCATTTTTCGTGTGTTTGATTGCGCTTGCCATGTTTACCCCTCCATATTAGCAAGTCTGTTAACATGTGTTTGCAGGACAGAGCTCACCGAATAGGGCAGCGTAGTACGGTGCGTGTGTTTCGACTGATAGTGGAGAACACTGTGGAGGAGAGGATCGTGGAGAGAGCCGAGACAAAACTCCGTCTGGACAAGATTGTCATCCAGCAAGGTGGGTGTGGTCTCAAACATTTGGGGTGGGGCTTACTTGTGTGTATGTGCAGGTCGGCTGGTTGACTCCCATCATAAAGTTGGTGGCGAGGAGATGCTGTCGATGATAAGACATGGGGCAAATGTCGTCTTCTCGTCCAAGGACTCCATGACCTCTGAAGAGGACATTGATGAGATACTCAAGAAAGGGAGAGAAGAAGGTAAAGTCTCTGAGACTGGTCCGCGGTCTCATCTGCCCCTTACCCTCATTCTAGACTGAGGAGTTGCACGAGAAGCTCAAGACACTAGGAGAGAGTGAACTGCGCAGTTTCTCACTGGACGTGCCAACTGGCAGTGTGTACCAGTTTGAAGGCGAGGACTTCAGGGAGAAGAGGAAGGAGATTCCTGGCCTCTACTGGATCGAGCCTCCAAAGAGGGAGCGCAAGGCTAACTATGCCATCGATGCTTACTTCAGAGAGGCCCTGCGTATGTCTGAACCGAGAGCTCCCAAGGTATTAGCTGCAATAATAGTCTGTTGTCTCCGTGTTCCTCTGTGTGTGTGTGTGCAGGCTCCTAGACCACCCAAACAACCGTCAGTCCAAGATCACCAATTCTATCCTCCTAGACTGTTTGAACTCTTAGACAAAGAGATATACCTCTTCAGGAAGCAGATTGGCTACAAGGTGAGGCAGCTGTTGATGTGCTTCGGTCTCCAGAGCTGTCCTGCTGTCACAGGTACCTCTGAACCCTGAGGCAGAGGACCCCGAAGCCTACCGCAAGGAGGAGCAGGAAAAGATAGACTCAGCCACTCCGCTGACCGAGGAGGAGCTGGCAGAGAAAGAGAAACTACTCCAAGAAGTGAGGCTCTTTTCTCTCTCCCTCTTCCACGTGACCTGTTGTCTGAGTGCAGGGGTTCTCTGACTGGAGTCGGAGAGACTTCAACCAGTTTGTGCGGCTGTGTGGGGAGTACGGGAGGGACGACGTGGACTCCATCTGTAAGGAGGTGGAGGGAAAGACTGAAGAGGAGGTCAGATTCCCATTATCCCATACCCCATGTTACCTCAGACCCTCTCTTGCAGGTGAGAGCGTATGCCAAGGTGTTCTGGGAGCGAAGGGAGGAGCTGACTGACCTGGACAGAGTCATGGCCATCATTGAGAAAGGAGAACAGAAGATCCAGCGAAGAAAAGACATCAAGAGAGCTCTTGAGGCCAAGATGTCCCGCTATCGCAGCCCCTTCCACCAGCTACACATTGTCTACGGCACAAACAAGGGAAAGAACTACACCGAAGAGGAGGATAGGTTCCTGGTGAGCCCCGCCCCCTATGACATCATCAATTGTCACGTGACCACCATGTGACATCTGCAGATATGCATGCTGCACAAGCTGAGTTTTGACAGAGAGAATGTGTATGACGAGATCAGGACGGCCATTCGCAATGCTCCTCAGTTCAGATTTGACTGGTTTATCAAATCTCGGACAGCTCTGGTATGCCTATTTCCTCTCTCTGTCACACTGTGCTGACTTCAACCAGTACCACCAGTATCATAACGTGTTGATAAGTCCAAGCTTCTTACATGTGTTTGTGTGTTAGGAGCTCCAGCGAAGGTGCAATACGCTCATCACTCTAATTGAGAAAGAGAACCAGGAACTGGAGGAAGAGGAAAAGAAGCAACGAAAGAGAGGTCCAAAAGTCAAGGTACACAGCTGATTGGACTGATCTGAGTCTGTGGAGATTGTTGGTGGGTGTGGTTTGTTTCCTAGGTGACGGTCACTCCTCAGAGAGTGAGTACAGGGCAGAAGAGGAAGGCGGAGACTGGGGCGGAGTCTGCACGAGGCCGTGGGAAGAAAAGAAAGACATAGTTCGCTGGACTTCTTGTGCTGCCATTTTCACATCTCATTTAAACAATGTTCAGCACAGCCTCACAATTCATCAAACGAACGAAATTAAAAACTATTTTACAGAACATGCAACCGAAAATGCTAAGAGAGTCAGGCATTTTTGAAGAGGAGGTCGTAGCTAAGCAATGAGTCTGCGATGACATCACACAGTGAGAGAACATGGAATGGGGGTTTCCCCTCCAGGTCCTTGGCACGTGGTAGAGAGTCAGTCACCCAGAACTTGGCAAACAAGACTTCAGACTCTCCAGGTAAGAAGGTTTTCCAGGAATCTCCAGGGAAGACAGGATGAGTGACAAACACACTGATACTGGCTGCACCTCGCTCCTGCAACACCTGATAAGGGGCACACTCATGTTTGGGTAGACTCATGTTAGGACCTGATCTGACCTTTGCACACTCCATAATGGTACCACCAGTTTGTATCAGATCATCCACAATCACCACATCCCAGCCTCGTGGATCTCCTGTAGACACACACATGAACTGAAGGACCAGTCGATGATTTGCCTACCATCTTTGATGGCGACCACACGTTTATCTCCATTTCTGACTTTCCCACAGATGATGGCATTGGCACCCCAGTCTTCAAGATCAGATTTGAACCTTTTGCTGGCTCCTTCGTCAGGAAATACCACCATGACTTTCTTTCCTTCCTCCTCCATGTTCCTCAGCTGCTTCACCAGCAGAGACATGGCAGTCAGTAGCCTGTGTTGCCAGACACACACTCTCCCAGGTCTCTCCACAGCTCAACTACTTACCTTGGAATGACCTGGTCGGAGAAATAGAACCTGAAAAAAAAACAGAGAACACAGCTAATGAGTCACAGTCAAGTTTGATGTCTTTGCCTTTCTTGGAGAGAGTGGATGTCAAAGATGATGATCTGAGCAGGTCCTCGCGAGGCCAGGGGGATCTGAGATAGCATGGTAGCAAGGGTCTGGGGAGATCAGGCGAGGACATGAAGGTAGTCATGGGTCGAAAGGTGCACACCTTTGCTGTGACCACTTGGCCTTCTTTGTCAACTCTCTCCATAGTACCAGTCGGGAAGAAAGGGAGGATGAGTCGAAATGATCGGACCAGGTACCTTAGAGTGGCGCGGAACATTCAGCAGGCAGTGGGTCACGACTATTGGCCTACCGAGGCAGGGAGTAGATGAGAGACAACTGCTCAAAGATGACACTTGGGCTGTCAAAGCTGGCCACAAATATCACTGCAGGGTAGCTGATGATCATGGTCAAGTAGGCCACCTCTAACTTACCGTCTCTTCCTGCAATTTCCTCCACGTCCTTTATAAAGATGTTTGGCCACTTGTCTCTGAATGTCTTCCAAGAAATATTGTTCCACAGCTCCACGCTTCTGTAGCGCTCCGTTTCTCCCTAGTCCGACCTACCGTCATCAGCCGCAGGTAACAAACACCTGCTCTTCACCTTCATCTCCAACTCGTGGACCCTAGAGACGAGGTTTTCTGCCAGGTACACCATGCTCGGGTGAGCCATTACGAGAACAGGTGGAAACCTCTGAGCCTTCTCCCTCGCTGTCTGCGAGGCAGAGTGACCCAGCACCACTCGCTGTTCCACGCCTTCAGCCATGTAGCTCGCTAGCTGCTACAGCAGGGACCGACCACGCCTAGGGAGGCGTGGCTCGATTTCCAAACGAGAGTCGGACAAGATGGCATCAGACGCAGAGAGCGGCGAGGGAGGTGGTAGAGACGGACGAGATCTGAAGCCAGTGCTCGAGCCTGGCGTTCTGAAGGCCTTCGTGGCAGGGTTGGTGGTCGGGAACCTCAACAAAGGTCTGGTGCTGGGGTTCCTGCTGGGGACGATGGGCGGAGTCTACATACAGCAGAACTTTTCCAAGATCCCCGACGTGCGGAGAGCATGGCTGGACTTGAAAGATCGCTGGAAGAGATAGCCGTGGACTCGGTAATCCTCCAGTTTTTGTGAAGCATGTTGCTGTATTTCGGCAGCGGAGGAAAGTGCGCATGCGCACAAATAGACAGGAAAGGATTTGCGTGCACACACACACAGGGATAAACAAGCACGCGGAAAGCCACAGCTAGCTTCGTGATGGAGAGTTTCGTAGACTCACTAGCAGGTGGACTGGGCGGCCTGGCGTGTGCAGTGGCAGGTCAACCGTTGGACACAGTGAAAGTGAAGCAACAGACGTATCCACGCGTGTATTCCTCGCCTCTCTACACACTTGCCAAAACCCTGAGGGAAGAGGGAGGGTTGCGAGGTCTATATGCTGGATGCGGTGCAGCCGTAGGAGCCAGCATAGCCGAAAACGCGGTGCTGTTTGTCTGCTACGAGCGTTGCCAGGATCTCGTTCACTGGGTCTCTGGAGACGACCAGGGCAGAGATGGACTGAGTGTCATGAAACAGGCATCCGCTGGATCCTTAGCGAGTGTAGCGTCCAGCGTGGCCATCAATCCCTTCGAGAGGATCAAGTGTAAAATGCAAGTGCAGGGGCAGCAGAAGCCGGAGGGTGTCAGCAGATTGAGGTGGACCCTCAGCCAGTGTGTGATATGCTCCTAAGATACTTTCTACTTCTCCCACAGTCAGTGGAGTGTGGTTGGGAACATTCTACGTGAGGAGGGGGTGAGGGGGTTTTATCGTGGGCTGACAAGCACGTGGGCACGGGAGGTGCCTGGTTATTTCTTCTTCTTTGGCTGTTACAATGCTAGCCGTAGGCTCCTCTCCCCTCCTGGTGAACTGCGCAGCAACCTGAGTGTGTGGAGACTGACTGTAGCTGGAGGACTGGCTGGATGCTGTTTCTGGACTGCCATTTTCCCAACTGATGTTGTCAAGTCTCGAGTGCAGGTGTGTGTGTGTGCGCGCTCAGTGCCTAGTGCCACATAAAGTGTGTTGTGGGTGTAGGTCAATGAAAGTTTGTCAGGCTCATTTTGGCTCACCATGTTTAGAATCATCAGAACTGAAGGTAGGCCCGACTCTGAAGTTAATGTAAATCCTTTCCAAGTGTTTGTCAAATTTAGGCATTTTGGCACTGTACCGAGGACTTACTCCAACTCTACTTCGATCCTTCCCTGCTAATGGTGCTCTGTTTGTGACGTATGAATACACACGAACACTCTTCACACCATCAAATATATACTTCACTGATCATTAACTGCACTACAGTGCAAACTCTGGACACACTGTGCATGCGTGGTATCGCTAAAATTATTGGTAAACGGTATATACCACCAATTGATGTACTGGTTAGGGCAGTATCTACTTTTTTACCCCACCTCTGTACCTGTATAAAACGAGAGGAAGAGGAAGTCAAGGAAGGACTAATTACTGTATAAACCTGGAACAGTAGAAGCCTGAAGCCATCTTTGGGCCACATCTCTTCAGGACTGATGGTCTAGCTCTGTAGATAGACCGACCCAGGATATGCACCGAGTCTGGGGTTAGTTGTATGTGTATGTATACCTGCTGGTGGTAGAGAGTGTTGGTGGTAGGTGTAACTCTGTCACATGCACTGGAGGTCTGTGGCAGTGTAACTGTTGGACCCCCAATACAAGAGTTGGAGGATGTGGAGATGACAATGGATGGGGAGTTGCTGGTTCTTCAGTCACTGTCTGAAATGAAAAGCACTAAAGTGCAAACCCTCGGCACACTATATAGAAATGTGGAACCCATACACAAGTGTAGCACCAACACAATTGATGGTCTTGACCATGCATCAAGCATGTTATGCACCATTTCCATGAAAAATGGGCAGCCCTATTTTTGTTTGAGGGCAAAAAATATATAAGGTTGAAAATTTGCCAACCTTTCATCTCTGTATTAATTTTCGTATTACCCATGGATTGTTTAGTGCAAAAAAAAATTTTTAAACCCAAGGTTGAAAAAAAAAACGACCAGCCCTTCATCTCTCCAGACAGACGTCTACGGACGCAGTGCTATGCCGAACTGTACGCTGCCCTTTGAGAAACATGGGTCAGTGGTAGATTTGTGGGTAAGGGGAGGAACCAGAGCTGTTCCCAGCCAATGCTCTGGACCATCTGACATTTTAGTGCGGGATCGAGGATACGAACCCCGCACCTATGGTGTCAGTCCCCACGACTCTAACCACCTAGCCACTCGGGCTGGCCTTGAGAGCTGATGAAAAAACGTTCCATATATACCAACACTCCTATTACATCATTGTAAAAAAGGCGTACACACCCGGGATTGAACCAGGATCTCACGATCATGAGAGGGGGTGCTTATCCATCAGACCACCACCATTACTTGATGGGAACAGTGTAAATGAAAAGCACTAAAGTGCAAACCCTCGGCGAAGTAGCTCGCAGAGAGTCTGACACGGGCTAGCTACAGTAGTAGATAGCACGCGAGAGTCGATACACGCCATTCGTTGTGACTTCTTGTGCCTTCAAGACGATAGAGACACAGAGCAAGCGCCTGCGCATTATCCGCCAGCGATAAAATGGCGACTACCGGATACAATGCTGGAAGCGCTCTAGCTCTGCAACGGAGCATTTTCAGAGAAAACCCCACATGTTTTCTGACCTTCGTCGCCCGTTGGGTAGATGGTATCGTTTGTGGGACGAACAGACATTCGAGAGGTGAGATGTAGAGTAACAGACACACGGCACACACACACACGGCACACACACACACACACACACAGACAAACCCAACTACAGTAATATATATATATATATAGCAGAGCGTGTCAGGGTTTCAACACAACCCTTCTGGGTTACCGTATTATGCTCGTATTTATAAGCATAAAGAACCAATGTATGATCATGAGCTCACCAATTCTCTCCGTAGCTCCATTTTGGCAGCCACTACTGGAGCTAGTTCCAGTAGAGTGCTAGGTTTGATTACTGAAGACTGATGTCCGTCAGGGTTCTCAGTTGATATCTCCACTACTGATACATGTAGTGGCTGACAACCTCCGCCTCTCTTTTGTCTGTGGCGGGAAGATGAACTCTCCATCCTCGCAGCCTTGTCGGGAGTGGCTCTGCGACTAGAGTGAGGTGGTGAATGGAGCTGTAGTCCCAGAGACTGCTTCATGTATTGTGAGGTGAAGCCATGTATTGGCTGAGTGGAGGAGGTGTGGTCAGTCGTAAAGGGGCGGGACGGTAGTTCAACAAAGGGGGAAGATGGGAGGAAGGCAGAGGGAGCAGTACTTGGTCTCTCTGTAGCAGCTGGTGGTCTCCAAGATATTGAGAGTTTTGGTCTCTGCTGCTTTGTCTTTGTTTTCTGTGTAATTATGGATAATGATAATATCTGCAAATTGTCTTGGTGTGTCTAGTACTGACTGTAGCAATGAGAGGTTTGTTGGCACAGAACCAATGGTAGACCTGCTGGAGTTCTGTCTTCTGACTCACTGCATCACTATTCCTACAGTAGCTATAGTCTATAACTATATAGTGGGTCGACGAAGATCACTTACTGCACTATTTGGTTGAGCATGGAAGTAAGAGTGGTATAGAAGAGATGTTCAGCGCTGCTGCCATTACTGGAATAATATTAGATATGAGTATTCAGCTACAGAGAATTGGAGACACACGTCATTCTGTAGCTGTTATTCTGAAAACTAGGCCCCTCCGCAGATCGTGCTATCGTGTGCACCATGCGGTTGAACTCGGCATAGCAACTCAACTGTTGAAACGTGAAGACACATAGTAGGTGAGCTCGGACTAGATCAGCGGCTCACCTTGGCACAGCGGAGCAAGTTCGCTTCTCTCTCCATAGTGTACGAGCCCCACCCCAAATTCTGTTGAGGTGCACGTGCCGCCTGCAGCGCCAGCAAAAAAGTTAGAATGGCGGAGACGGAAGAGGATCGGTTGACGGCTACTTACAGACCGCTGGAGGATACGCTGGAGACAGACGCACTCGTAGCACTGCGAGAGTCCCGTACTGCAGTCAGTAGACATCTCCCACTCTTCGTCGGGACTTCGCGCATGGACGCTAGACCGGCTGAAACGAAATCGGGCGAGGGTCTACGGCGCTTTTGCTGCAACTTATGATGCTACTCCTCAGTATGTGAAGGCCGACGCGACAGAAGACCTTATTGCGTGAGCAAATGCATCACAGCGTTGCATTGTTTTGGCTTCACTCAATGGTCATTATTGCATGTCTGAGCAAACAAGACCTTTCTTCTGATGGCAGGAGAGCGAGATTGAGAATCAATCGAGGAGTTGAATCTGTACCAGTGAGGTAATCTTTACCAGAGTGCAAGGTGCTAGGGTTACCACTGGCTGCAGGGTCCTAGCTATACTGATCCTGGCAGTCGATGTCCTACTGGTGGTGGTGCAACTAGCTCTCAAGGACGAGTTCCCAGTCTTTGTGGAGGAGCTCATTGAAGTTCTGAGTCTCCTTTTCTCTGCCTTTTTCTGTGGAGAGGTTTCTCTGAGGATTGTTGGACAAGGGTTAGCTGCTTTGCGTAGCTGTTACATTTGTCCTCAGCCACTCTGATATGGTGTAGGCTGGTGTTTTTCAAGAGGTGGTTTGAAGTGCTTGATCTAGTGGTGATAGTGGCGTCCTCCGTCCTCACTGTCTTGTTCATTCTACTGGAGGACCATTCTGGAGTTGACAGCAGTGGTGGTGGTACTGTCGTCTCGTGAGTCTATCTGTGATGATTTCATTCTGACATCATCAGTTGTTGTTGCTCACAGAACGGCTCGGCTCTTTGTTGTGGGGAGGTTGGTCAGAGTTGTCTTCTGGACCAAAATTTTCTATGAGCAGAAAAGTCTGCAACGATTTATCCGGTCAAAGGTACTAAGTCACAAGTCACATGATGTGAGTATGAGAGAGTCTGCAGGTATCTCAGAACAAGAGGCGCTACACAGGAGATGGCTATGATCTTGACCTGACATATGTCACAGGTTCATAATCACTAAGTACAGGACTTAGTAAAAAAGAGGCATATAGGGAGTACTTATTCACTCCTCAAACTTGCTAACTATAGCACGTGTGGAGGTGAAACTTGGTGCGCATGAGTATTACATCGTTTCCATGACGACCACAACACTCAGGCACTTTTCTTTAACTTTTTCACTCCTCAAACTTGTTGACTGTAGCACACATGGAAGTGAAACTTGGTATGTATGCCTATTATATCATTTCCATGACAACCACAACAACAAATAGCCTCAGGCACTTTCCTTTAAACTTTACTCCTCAAACTTTCCAATGGTAGCATGCATAGGGACGAAACTTGGTATGTATGTCTATTGTATCATTTCCATGACGATTACTTGTTTCCATGACGACCACATATTATTTGAAAAAGCCTCAGGTAATTTTCTTTAAAACTACTTATTCACTCCTCACTGTAGCATGCGTGGAGGTGAAACATGCGTAATACATCATTTCCATGACGACCACAACAACAAATAGCCTCAGGCACTTTTCTTTAAAATTACCTCTTCACTCCTCAAACTTGCTAACGGCAGCACACATGCAGATTAAACTTGGTACGCATGCGTATTACATCATTTCCATGACGACAACAGGCATTTTTCGCTATAATTAATCTTTATAGGGGGCTTGCCCCCTTTCATAGGTATATACGTAGTAGTATATAAAAATGAGTGGAGACAAGTAAATTAAAAATCCTGCGAATTTAATATAGGGACGGTATGAAAAGAAAGATATGGATGGGATACATGAAGCATGGCATGCTGACACCCCAAACCCCATCACACAATCCCTATATTGTTGCCAGCTGAAGTATAAAACATTCACAATTACAATACTCAGAACTTATAATACAAAAAAGTCATGCTATACAGAGTAACCAACACCGTTATAAATTCGCAGGATTTTTTGATTTATATACTGAGTTCCAGTGAGGCTAACTGCATATATTCATCCTCTCCCTCAGACCGGGTGATTGCCATGTCTTTCCCGTCCAGTGGCAGTGCCACTTTCTACCGAAACTCCATCCGAGAGGTGAGTCAGTTTCTGGACCAGAAGCACCCTGGACACTACCGTGTCTACAACCTCTGCTGTGAGCCTTCTCCCTCACTGTGCCCCCCAGCTCCCTCCCTCCTTTTCTGCAGCTGAGAAAGAGTATGACCCTAGTCATTTCCATCACCAGGTCTACAGGGTGCTCATCGATGACCACAATATCCCAAAACTAACGTTAACTCCTCCCATTTTCTGAACATATCACTTGACTCTGTCATTTCTCATGCAGTGATCTTGTTGACTTTTGTGAGGATGTGCAGGGCTGGATGGACGAGGACCCTAGCAATGTTATAGCTGTTCACTGCAAAGGAGGGAAAGGCCGCACTGGGATGATGGTAGCAGCCTGGCTAGTGAGGTCTGGGCAGTTTCCTCAGGCCCAGCAGAGCCTGGCCTACTTCAGAGAGCGTCGCACTGATCGCAGCAGAGGAACCAAGAGCCAGGGAGTGGATACTCCTAGCCAGGTCAGTCAGTGGGTGTTGTCTGGACTGTATTATACTAATATGTGACTACAGAGTCGGTATGTGTGTTACTACGAGCGGCTGCTGACAGAGCTGTCAGGAGAGCTTCCTCCACCCACGGCACTGAGGCTCTCCAAGATGGTCGTATCTGGCCTCCCTGGTCAGGAAACACTACCTTAAATGTTCACCTCCACCCACTCCTACTAGATACGTAGTAACTTCTAGCAACGTGCATCATGCTTTGTAGAAATAAGGAGTTGCAGTTGGCATTGGAACTGTGAGTAGTGTGTGGGCAGTCCTAGAGATTCTCATTAAATCATGAGGTGATTTATTTCACTGGATCCCTTTTTAGGAGGCAACTGAAGGGCTCCCCGTGGGCGAGGGTAACAGTGAAACGGCTGTCAGCTTTGAGTGATTATTGTGTTTTGACTTGAGATGGCTGCCTAGCAGCCTTAGTGTGTGTCTTCAGTCAGCGACCTCAAATGCTTTGCAGGGCTGCGTCAGGAGGGATGCAAAGACTGGAGATTCGAAGTCTTCCTCATGAAGACAAAGATATTCCAGTCCAGTCTTGGCAGCCCACACCTGGAGCAGGTCAACTTACCTCACACATTGAATGAATCCCTACAGTTATGTATTTAGGTGTTGGTGAGTTTGGATCTGGACCATTCAGCAGTGTGTATAGTGTTCAATACTGACCATCCATTGGTGCTAACTGATGATGTCAAATTCAAGTTTTACTGCAGTAATGTAGGTGCACAATTTTCCACTAACTGTCGTTGTCCACGGAGTGTTATCACAGAAATCAGTACCAACTGGCTCTGATAAATGTCAGTTTTACTTTTGGTTGCACACCACCTTTGTTCGGGAGAACAGGTGAGGGTGACTGGTGCCGTGATATAAGTTCTATCTCTCCCTTTTGCAGACTCTTTCTCAAAAGATCAGAGATTGACAATATGCAGAAGTCACGTGTACGCAGGTCCTACCCACCCACACTCTCTGTAGAGCTTCTGTTTCAACTATGGGAAGGAGAAACTCGTAGTGAAGACGGCTTTGAGCTCGTAGATTGACCCATTTTTGCGTCATTAATCATCACGCATGCGCAGTGGTGCGGCGTGCGCACACCACCCCCCCGTCGTACGCGTAGTATAAAATCGTGCGACCCAACTAGGTCGCACGCTCGTCTCGGCAACTAGACAAAATGCGCCATATCTACTCTCTTCTGCTGCTCCTGGTCGTCTTGCTCTCTCTCGGCCAGTGCCGCCATCAGAGCCCTGCAGTGGGCGAGTCCTGCACGGAGCTCGTGAAGGACCCTAACAGGTGCGACGAGCCCGAGGAAGTGACCGAGTCTGTTGAACCTGTGGAAGAAACGGAGAGATTTGGGTGAGATATTGCTCACAACCACTTCCCATAATGCTATAGCTGTATTTTTCTGCACAGCCCCAATGTGTGTGTTACAGAGCGGATGGAGCTTGTGAATGCTAGTGACTATGTCGTCGAACGTTCATGCAGATTCTTCTTCCTTGGAATTCCAGTCCGGTGCAAGTAAATTGTTTTCCTACTGTGTTAGACTCTGATCATAGTTGAATACTTGTCAAATCTGCAGGAGAGTCTGTGTGCAAGCGGAAACATGCTCAGTTCGCAATGTCTCCAGCAGAGTCTATGACTGCTGTCCTGGATTTGCAGCTCACTCCGGACGCAATCATGGCTTTGGTTATGGTATTGTCAGACACCCAGGCATGAGAACCCTGCGGAGGGAAGGCTGTCCTCTTGGTAGGTGTTGGTTTCACACAGTGACCTTCAGTGATTTGTCTTTTTTACAGAGATACGGGACTCAGTTGCCAGTTGTTTAGAGGATCTCGAGCTCTCAGATTTTGCTGCTGCTCTTGAGAGAATTGGACTCAGTTCTCGACTTGCCAGTGCTGATGAGGAGCTCACTGTGTTTGCTCCTGTCAATGAGGCCATCAACGGAGCTTTTCTGTCCCAAAGGGCTCTGAATGCTCATGTCATAGCCGATGATGTGGTGAGAAACAGAGATCTTCGCGATGGAGCTGTTCTGCGACCGCTGGATGAGTCCACACTGCTCCATGTCACCGATGAACATGCTAGAGATATGGGTTACACAGAGGTATAGTTACACCACCGAAAATGATGCAGAGTGCCATTCTCTTGATCTTTGCAGGTTACATTTATTAATGGAGCAGAAGTCAATACCAGTGATGCCTGTGTGGCTGAAAATGGAGTGGTTCACACTCTGAATGCAATCATTCCTTCGTCTCCTGACAGCATTGCTGAGTTGTTGAGAGCTGAGTCTCAGTTCAGTGACTTTGTACAGCTGCTGGATGCTACTAACATAACTCAGTTCCTGGACAATGGTCGGAACACCTCTCGCACCGTCTTTGCTCCTACTAACAATGCCTTTGCCAACCTCTCTGAGGGAGCCCTCGAGTGCCTCGTGAGGCCCGAAAACAGCCGTGTTGTAAAGAACCTTGTGCTCCTCCACATTTCAGCTCCAGCCCAGTACACTTCATCTCTATCTCTTCGCAGCTACATCCATACATTCCATCCTCGCTACTCCCTCCTGGTGTGTGTCATCAATGGTGGCATCCACCTGACTAGAGATAACGTTCCTCTGGAGGAGACAGACTTCACTGCCAGGAACGGAGTCATTCACACTCTGGGGAGCGTCCTTCTGGCTGATATGATTGATTTCGAGGACCTTTGCCCACCTGCGCCGCCATCTGGCCCCATCCCTCCTGTTCCTGTCCAGCCCCCGGAGCCAGGAGAGACCATTCAACCACAGGGCCCTGCTGTTCCTCCTGAACAGCCTGAGGTCTCGCCATAAGTAGCTAGTCCTGGACTAACTATTAACATTCTAGCTAATGTTAGGAAATTTGTTACTAAATTAGTGATGAAAATTAAATTATTCAGTGATCAATTTAATTAGTTGGCGCAATGTGAGTTTAGCACAACCACAAAAATTCCATCAACAAACTCGTCCGGGTACGGAGGTCGTAAGATGGCGGAGAGAGCTGACTTTCCTCACGCGTTCACTCACTCCAAACGGCCCAGGGTGAGCGCTGCGTAGAATGTCTGTCACTCTCTTCATGTTTCCCGTTTCTGGAAGCTGTCGGACGAGCGGCATTCCTCTCACCCGTCTCGGCCAGTCCACCCAATCCTCACAGATGACGAGCCATCCAGCGATTCTGACAGCGACCCTGAGCCCGACCTGCCGGCAGGTGAGCGGCTCTGCGTTTCAGAGAACTCAGTTCACCATGTCCCAAGGTCTGGAGGGAGCTGCCTTTGCTAGCAGAATGCCGGCCAACAAGATGACACAACAGGAGGCAGAGTTCTTCCCGGACGTGGCCCATGGGAGTCAGCCAGCCTTGATGGAGTTCCTTCTCATTAGGAACAGGCTACTGCAGGCGTGGCTGGCTGACCCCACAGTACAGCTGACCACAGAGAAGGCCCAGACTTTGGTCCAGCTACCTCAGTCAGGTCCGGAGAGAGGTTCTGTTGAAGATGTACTGAGGTGTGGATGGTTTTACCTGCAGGCAAGAGCAATCTGGTGCTGCGCATACATGGCTACCTCCAGAGGTATGGGTTCATCAATTATGGCGTGTTCTCGCGACAGAACCCAATGCACGGCAAGATGCCGTTTAAGGTGGTGGTGGTAGGGGGCGGGGTGAGCGGGCTCATGGCTGCTCGACAGCTCACGTACTTTGGCCTTGATGTCAGCATTCTGGAGTCTCGGGTATGTCCTCTAAACCTCTGACTCCTGCAGTAAAGCAGTTGTCGGTACAGGATCGTATGGGAGGTCGGATCCACACCTTCAAGAGTGGGCCATATGTTGCAGACCTGGGAGCGATGGTGATCACTGGTCTTGGAGGGAACCCCCTCAGTGTCCTCAAGAAGCAGCTGTCTCTCCAAATGACCAAGATACACCGCCGCTGTCCCCTGTACTTCACCACTGGTGTGTTCTGGTATTCACTTGCTCCCTCTCATACCACCCAAAATATAGGAGAAATGGTTCCCAAGGAAAGGGACAAGACAGTGGAACTGGAGTTCAACAGACTCCTGGACTCCGTGTCTCACCTTTCTCATCAGCTCCAGGTCAACCAGTTGGGAGGGAAACCTCTCTCGCTTGGCCAGGCTCTGGAGTTAGTCATTGCGTAAGTTTCTTCCTTTCCTCTTCCTCATTAACCCATGGCAAGCATGCGCAGCGAGTGTTACTGTAGTAGGTTTTTTGCTGTTTGCTTGTTTTTGGTTTGCTTGTTTTTGTTTGCTTGTTTTTGGTTTCGTTTACTGTTCCTCTTTTTTGCCTTTGTTGTTTTTTTCCCTGTATGTCTCCTTATGTATGCTCTATCTCAAAAAATAATTAGTGGTATCGTGCATGCGCAGTGCGCCGAGGGTTTGCACTTTTGTGCTTTAAATTCTCTTCAGTGAGCCTTCCCTCCCTAGACTCCAGGAGAAACACACGAGAGAGAAGCTGAGAGACCACTTGAAGACCATCTCCTCCCTCCAGACTGAGCTCCTGGATCTCAGGAAGAAACTCACCTCCATCCAGAACAAGATAAAGTCCACCCACGATCGCAGGGGGAAGCTGATGAAGGCAGCGTCAAGGTAAGAGAAGGATTAGGAAGCCTATTGTGATCACGTCCTCTCCTCCAGTGAGGAAGATCGGCAGTTTGTGTTGCAGTCGACGGAGGCTGAGCTAGTGAGTTTGTTCCGTAGCCATGACGACATGCAGGAGCAGCAGCAGGAGCTCGAGAACAGGATTGATGAAATGGAAGACCAGCAGCTTCCGTGAGCGGGGGTGATGGTTGACGGGTGTGGGGGATGTGGGTGTAAGTGTTAGTCTCCCTCGCTGGCTGCAGGTCAGTCTACCTCAGTCCACGGGACCGCCAGATTCTGGACTGGCATTTTGCCAACCTGGAGTTTGCCAACGCTGCCCCACTGGACAAGCTCTCCCTGCGCCACTGGGACCAGGATGATGACTTTGAATTCACTGGTCTGCTCCTTATCCATGTCCTTATTCTCCCATTGTTTTATTGAATCGCTGCATAAAGATGTTTTGAGTTTTCTGATCGTTGCTGCTCATCCTCCATTAGGAGCACATCTGGCTCTGCGAGAAGGCTATGACCAACTTCCTTCCTCTCTCGCCAAGGGACTGGACATCCGTCTCAACACAGAGGTCACCTCCATTCACTACTCCACTGACGGTTGGTGTGTCAGGCGTTAAAAGTCCTGTGGTGATAAGATGGTCTCTGTGAAGGGGTGGAGGTCCACGCTCGCTCCACACAGACCGGCTGCTCCTCCATCTTCAGAGCCGATGCCGTCGTTCTGAGTGTGCCTCTCGGAGTGCTGAAAGCCAACGTCATGACTTTTCATCCCCCACTTCCAGAATGGAAGACGCAAGCGATCAATAATCTCGGCTTTGGCCTCCTTAATAAGGTGGGTGTGGTCTTGTTGCAGGTCACATGATGTCGTGTGACATCATTCTGCAGGTGGTGCTGTGCTTTGAGCAGAGGTTCTGGGACTCCCACGTTCATTTGTTTGGCCACGTTGCCACGGGAACGGCCTCTCGCGGGGAACTGTTCATGTTCTGGCACCTCAGCCATGCACCCGTGCTGATAGCACTGCTGGCAGGTCTGTTACCTCACCCAGTGGTGCCTGCGGGTCCATCCTAGTAGTCTAATGTACAGGGGAAGACGCTGTTCGCTTTGAAGGTCTACCAGATGATGTGGTAGTGGCAAAAGCGGTGGCAGTTCTGAGGTCCATATTTGGAGATCCAATAGTTCCTGAGGTAATCATCTCCATTGTCCATTCCCCCATTTAGCGAGTCACTGTCCTCAGCCTAAGGAAAGTCACGTCACCCGCTGGAGACAGGATGAGTATGCTCGAGGGTCCTACTCTTATGTGGCTGCAGGTTCCAGTGGAAACGACTATGATTTCCTTGCTGCAGCTGTCAGTCCTGCCAGAAATGGTCCTCTGGTGCCAAGGTCAGCCTTGGCTCTCCCTGGATCTTTCACTGATCCTGTCTTCCTCCACAGGCCACGGGTGTTCTTTGCTGGAGAGCACACAATGAGGAACTACCCTGCCACCGTCCATGGGGCCCTGCTGAGTGGGCTGCGCGAGGCGGGGAAGGTTGGGGACATGTTGCTAGGCGCTCCCTACACCCCGAGACCTCTGTCCACCAATGCTGAAGTTGTGCTACCACCTGCTCCTCTCTCTGAACTTGTTCAACAGACGTAGCTGCCATCTTCCACGAACTAAACTGACTCTCTATTTTTGCATATTGCGAAAATCTTGTTGCATTCAAGTTTTGTACCGTGACAATTAACTTTTGGGCCACTCTTTTTGCACATTAATGGAGGTAGTGGTGAGGAATTATGTTGTCCACATCAAATGAAACACCAAGCAATATGCTCTGTGTTCCGTGTGTTGATCATCAACCATTTTGTGTTTCGTGTGCAGAAATACTTGAGCTGCTGAATGTTTTGCGCATGCGCGTGATTTACCTGAGCGATGATGGGCGTGTTTTACAACTAACAACTAGCTACAGCAGTACTAACTGGTGAAAGATCATGACCAGTGCAGATCAAAGTACGAGCCCCGTCCCCGAGGCCGACGGAGGCTCAGCTGGAGAGTTTGTCCTCAAGAAACTGTTCGCTGGGTTTGTGGCAGTGAGCGAGAGAAAGCTTCAACACGCCTGCAACCAGCCTCTGGTAAAACGAGGAGCTGATCTGGTCCCATCTGACTGTATACACATTGATCTCTCTCTAGGACTACTCGCTGGCCAAAGGCCTTGTGAGAGGAGAAGATGCTCAGTTTGATCAGGTAGGATCATTGAATTTCTGCTGCCTGGCTCTAGTGGGTGTTGTTTTTAAGATCCTCAGTGCTCTGAATGAGGTGTCAAGTTTCTGTCTCCGCTCGATGTTGACTGCCATATTCAAATGGAGGGACATGCAGGTGTGTTTCTGTTAGACCTTTGTTCCCCAGCTACCCATCTGTCCCCTCTGCAGATTGAACAGTGTCGCAGTAATCCTGACCTGACCAGTCTCTCCAACAGGTGAGGCTGAATCTCTCCCTCCCTCACTCCTTCCTCCTTTCCTCTCTCAGTGAGACAACAGACACGGGACTCCCAGCTAGCAAGAAGGACAGAGCTCACTTCATTGAACGGCGTGAGCTGGCAGTGGAGTTTGTGTTCTGTCTGGTGTTGGTGGAGGTGATGCCACGGCTCTCCGTCCACCCCGTGCCAGAGTCCTTCATTCACAGCATCGAGGATCTGGCTTTCACTCACTTCAAACTGCAGGAGTCCCTCAAAGACCACAGGTCTGGGGACCCTAGTCTTCATAGCACCACCTTTTCTGACCACCCACATGCAGGGCCCTCTCCAGCCCAAATGTGACTAACATGAGGAAGATTGCGGACCTTTACGCAGAGGTCATTGGTGTTCTGAGTCAGTCTCGATTCCATTCCGTCAGACGCCGATTCTTCCTTGAGATCCGGAACCCAGATTACAGCCCGGCAACAGTCATCTCCATCATTGAGGGCATGAGCTTCGTTAGAGTGAAGATGTTTCCAGTAGAGGAGCTGGAGCAGTGGTTTGTCTTTCTCCAGGTCAGTCTCTCGTGTTTTAGACACATTGTCGCCAGCTCTGGTTGTGATGGTAGGAGTGTGCAAGGTTCTTTCTGGACTGCCCGCGGGAGAAGATCAAGGCAGCTATGAGTGCCCTCCTGGTGGAGATCCTTCTGCCTGTTGCAGCTGTCATCAATTTAGAGGCATCTCTACCAGTCGCCAAGAAACTGGTGTCCCTGCTGTATGGTCACTGTATGGAGCATGCCAGAAGAGCTCGCTATAGCAATGTCAGTCTCCGCTTCCTCTGTGCCAATTAACGACATGCCACATGTACTTAGTCTTTCCTCCTCCACCCCTCTCTCTCAGACTTACATCCCTCTGGCTACTGTCCTGCTGGCCATCAGTGAACAAACCTTCTTCCTCAACAACTGGCACCTCTTCCTTGTGCAAAACCTCCTCCCCAGCCTCAAGGTGAGTATTCCCTTCTCTTTTACTGGCAAACTTATCGCCTGTTCCTTCTGCAGCGTGGAGACACTAAGATCCATAACATAGCTCTGGTCTCTCTTTATCGACTTGTCTGGTGAGTGACAAGTCAGCGTAATTCTCTCTAACTTCTCCACTGATGTGTATATACAGGGTGTATATGGTTCGGATAAAGGGAGAGAGCAACAAGACTACCATGTTGAGACTGAGGACTGTACTGGACACCCTCTTCCCACGCGGCCAGAGAGGAGTCAACCCAAAGGAGATGCCGCTCAACATCTTCGTCAAACTCATCCAGTTTATTGCCAGGGTAAGTAATGTGACTTGGTGGTTGGTCACATGATGTTCACATGACTTCAGGAGAGGCTGGAGTATGCGATGCAGGAAGTGATTCTGGAGCTGTTGAGTCAAGGGAAGACCAAAACCGCCATCTACCCAGAGAGAATGATCATTGGTCTACGAGCATTTCTAATGATCACAGATAGTCTGGAGAAGAAGGAGGGGGATCCCCCTATGCCAATTAACCCCGGCCCCCTGCCATCCAGGGGAGTGTCGAGGGTTAAAAATCGCTTTCTCTCCAACACCCTCAGTGATGAGACGGCAAGGAAGATTGGGATCAGCCAGTTCTATCCTGCGTATGTAGTTGTTCTGCGGAGATGACAACTAATAATGTGACTTCCTCTGCAGCGTGCGGAGAGCCCTAGATGGAATTCTGAGGTCTCTGGACCACCACGTTGGTCGCCAGCTCACCTCCACCAACCCACAGACTGGGAAGAGCGTTGAGGAGATCCTAAGGTAGGGTCTATATAGCACGGAATCGGGGGCGAGGGGTGAGTATGCGATCACCACAGTACAGTGAAACCCAAACTGGACCTGCTGAAGACCTGTGTGGCTGCCATTCCTCGCATCCTCCCAGACAACACGAATCAAGAATACCTGACAGACCTGCTCTCCCGACTGACAATCCACCTGGACCATGAGCTCGGCAGGTGTGTCTCCTCCTCTCCTCCAGTTGGAGATTATGGCTGTCTTTCCATGCAGAGCTGCAGCCAACTCCCTGCACACCATGGTTACCAACTACCCCACCTGGCGACACAGCATAGTGCAGGTGTTTGTCCAGTTTCTGCTGAGGGACGTCCCTGACTCGTGTCCTCTGGTCCTGGAGGCCACACTAAAACTGCTCATCCAGTTTGTGAGGGACTGGAGGCAGCTAGTCACTTCTCCCGACAGACAAACAGTGTGTCTTCCTCTGGTCATGGGAGCTGCATCCTAGTTTATGTCTTTGGTGCAGGGGGCTGAGGAAAGCAGTGAGGAGCAGAAGAAGGGAGAAGAAGGGTACTGTATTCCATGGGTGGAGGCCTGTGGACTGGTGACTCTATGCAGTTATCGCTCAGTGACTCGCAGATTCAGCCTTGTTCTGCTAAAGGAGGTTCGCAGTCTGCATGAGGCTTTGGCTGGCCAGCCCAACCGGGTAAGCAGTGTCTTTGTGATATTGAGGAAGACATGCAGCTAGTACGTTGCCTTTAGGTGGAGGAGACTCCAGTCATGGATATCATTGAACTGGCCACTCCTGCCATTGTGAAGCGCTATCTATCCACCCTCTCCGTCGCCCAGAGAGTAGGTTTGAACAAATGTTTGCAGTCTCTCACTAAACCAAGAACAATGCTGTGGTTGATGAGTGTATTTTCTTCTCTTCAGACTGAGCTACGAGTTACCAACCAGGCCCTAACACTCACTTGGCTGGCAGATCGTGCTGCTTGTTTCCTCGAACAAGGAGGTAGCCGTGCCGCCATGCGGGACCCCTGGGCCCTCTGCCTGGCAGGGCTGATGGAACCCTCTCTCCTCCCGAAGGCCTGTCAGTCTGCCACTCGCCTGGCTTGGCCCTACCTCTACCACCGCATGGCAAAGGCCTACATGGTTCTGGACCCAGCAGGACTGGTGGCTGACAAGGGAGACAAGCCCTCCTCCATGCGTGGGAAGGGGCGCCCTATTGTCAGCACTGTCGAGACTTTTCTTTGGAGGAACTACTTCATATTTGCCTCGTGTTCTGCCCCTCCATCCTCTAGTCAGGAGAGGTTTGTAACACCAAACTGACTGGGAGTTGGCTCTATGTCTCTCCTGCTCTCCACCAGTTCTCAGGATGGCGCTGGTCGACCTTTCCCTACAGCGAGGGACCTGTTTCAGCGTGTGGTGCCCCTAATTCGCTGGGACGGAGAGATCAGAGAGGTGGCAGTTACTGCTCTTGGTCTCGTGAACCCTCCAGCCTTTGGGTATGTTACCTCTCTCCTATCTTCCCCCTCATTGTCCTATGTACTGTCTCAGTGATTTGGTGGAGCAACTCCAACCAGTGATCCACGATGCTCTGGAACAGAGGAAGGACGTGAAGAGAAGACGGAGGAGAGAGGCTCTGAAGATACAGATTACTCGTGTGTTCTCCCTCGCTGCTGAGCACGGTTGTTTCCAGCACAGCCATGTCGCACGTACCGAGCATGGGCAGCTGTCACCTGTTCTACTTGACTTTATTGAGGGAATCAAGTGAGTCCTCACTGGTTACTTTTGTGTGATATTCTCGGCTTCCCTGTTAACAGATCACACTTTGACAGTGAGAAAGAAGGAGTCCACAGTTATCCTGAGCTGAGGCTACATTTCGCAGGCCTCATCGCAAACATTATCAATGGAGTTCCACAGGGAGAGAGTCGAATGCTGCTCCTCTCTCCTGTAACCCGACAAGGCCTGTTTTACCTGTTTGCCACCTGGTGTGGCCTGTGGCAGAGAGTTGACGTTGACACATTGGCCAGAAACCCTCAGATCTCATTCAACTCACTGCAGGCAATGTCTGCCCTCCTCTGCTGTGGGCCTGTGTTTCAGGCTGACGGACTCGAGAAAAACAGCCTCCTATACAGATGGCTGGACAACATGCTCAACTGCAAAGAAGGAAGGGTGAGGCACCACTCAGTCTCAGGGTTGAGGTGGACAAGATGGTTCTCTCCGGGGTACAGGTGCAAGCTCTAGGGCAGCGTACAGTACAGCTGTTGCTAGCCAACAATGCCAACTGCCCCACACTCCTTCGCTGGGTGGTGGATCGGTGCTATGACAACCAGCCTGGAGCAGCTCAGCTGTGCTTCCATGCCTTGGCCACTACCATGGAAACCTTGTATGCGAGCTTTTGAAGAAGTTTCTGAATATGTGTGTGTGTTATGTTTGTTTGTAGCCCAGACTACCCTTTTGACATGGTAACTGTACTCCACGTGGTTCTGTTCAAGACAGCGGACCCTGAGCCCTCAGTGAGGGAGAGAGCAATGCAGCTGCTCCAACTGCTGGACTCTCGGTTCCTCTCAGAGAGTGGGCACTCACGGCCCGAACTCTTGGGTTGCCTCACCGGAGGCACCTATTCCCAGAGCCATATCGTCTTCAGCAAAGAGCTTGCTACCACAAACCCCGAGTTAACCTTCCCTATCTTTAGTGGTAGGCTTATTTCAAGCTCCCAGAAGAGAGTGTGTGAGGGTTTCCTCTCCTGCCAGAAATGGTGTACAGGTTTGAAATGGCTCCTCATTCTGGTCAGAGGAGCATCCTCCAGTACATGGTACCTTGGCTGGCCAACATGGAGCTGGTGGAGGAAAACCAGTCATCTCCATACATAGCACACTCCACTGCAGCGCACGCCTCCTGGCCACGCCCCTCCTCTGCCGTCCTGCAAGGGACTGGCTGGGGTTCTCTGGATGGTACAAAGTTGGTTCTGCACAACCTCCTCTACATCACTGCCAAGGTACTGACTGGCGCCCATTCACAAGTGGTTACAGTGTGCCTTGTGCAGTTTGGCGAGGAGCATACTGCAGAGGTGGAGGGTCTCTGGAGTGCCCTCTGCTCGTGGCAAAACAACCTGAGGATTACCATCAACTACTTGGCCCGTCTCACGTGTGCCTGTGGGAACATGGCTGTCATGGTCCAGCATGCCAAGAGGATCATGGTCAGTTTCAGTCACAGTCACGCTTCAGCTATCATCACTGAACTCATCAGAGACCTGCAGGTATGCGTTTCACGTCCTTTCATACAACAATTCTCCTGTAAACCCCATAATCCTGTGTAATCACTTGGGTGGCCGCTGCTCATTGGTTGGTCCTCTCGGCCGCGCTGTGTCATTCCTCTGTTACGATCCGTTCCACCACCAGTTTTCACCCTGATTCGACCGTGTGCACTCCCAGGTGGTTTCCCATTGTGTTGCCACGGTTTGTGTCACCCTCTTCACCACCATCCGGTTGCGGTGGTGTTTCTAGTGACCCGTTTGACGCACGTGCGGCACCTTCCCCTGTTTTGGTGTGTGCAGCGCGCCCGTGCGCTCAAGTCTTGTTGGGCTTCCCCGCCGGGCACATACGCAATTGATTTAGGATGCCGGTGTACAAAAAGGACATAACTAGTTGAAGATCCACTCGTCGTTCTCGCGACACCGATGAGTGAAGGTCTGGTTAGCGACAGAGGTAGCGTATGCAGTAGGTCGAGAAGAGTGAGGAAGGAGGCGCCCTTCATTTTTCACGCACAGATAGACAAGGATCAGTGTGTAGACACGCACGACAAGCTACCTGACGAGTAGAGAGCTCGGCGAACACACGATGACTGAGAGGGTGACTAGCAAGCTTGGAGAAAATGACAAGCATATCGAGCCAGAGCTTTGAATGAATATATAGAATCTGGCACCATAGTTTTTCGCAGCCAGCAGGGGACTGTATGAGATGTGACAGAGCAAGTTTGTAGGCTGACGGGAGACATAGGTCAGCCAAGTAAGGGTGATTGTTGTGTGCTGCGTTCGATGACAAACCAGTGACGATGTATATACCACCCCAGTGTCTGTTTACAGATGACAAAACAGTGACAGATGTATACCCACAATGTATGTCTTGATGACAAAACCAGATTGACACGATGTAGTACCCACAAATTGTTGTCGATGACAAAACCAGTTGACAGATGTATACCCCACACATGTTGTCGATGACAAAACCAGTTGACAGATGTATACCCCACAAATGTTGTCGATGACAAAACCAGTTGACAGATGTATACCCCACAAATATTGTCGATGACAAAACCAGTTGACAGATGTATACCCCACAAATGCGTTCAGACATGTGTCTTTTTCAGAACAATCAGTGGTGATTGTATCTTATTTATCCCTTAGTCTGTGGAGATCATATCAGCAGAGCTGCAGCCCAGTGACTCTCCTCCATTCTACTGCATGTCAGGTGGCCAGGGTGAGGGTAGGAGGGAAAGAGAGGGGAAGAGGGAGGCAAAGGGGTCGGAGGGGGAAGAGTGGAGTGTGAGGTGGAGGTCTGCAGTGAGGGGCAGGGAAGGCAGTCCTGTAGCTCTGCCAGTTCCTCCTTCTTTTAAGCAGCACTTTGCCAGCCTCAAAACCCTGCTCAAGTTACCAGTGAGACAGCTGGTACCTCTGCACAGGTACCTACTTCATTTCCAGCAACACTTGCTACGTTTTCAGCTGCGTTGGGCATCTGCAGGTGTAACTTTGCTCTGATGATTTTGTCGGAGCTGGTGCTGGAGTTGCAGAGTGAGGTGGAGTGGACGGAGCATCTTCCTCTACTGCTGCATGTGGGTTTGCTGGGATTGGATCTGCTGAGACCACTTGTCTATGAACACAGCAAGGCTCTGCTGGGCAACTTAGTGATTGTAGTAGCCTGCAAAGACAACATGCTAGCTGCTCTACAGGCCAGGTCTGGAGGGCATCCATCATTTTGAACATTAATTTTACTGTTCGGGATTTTTCTGTGCTTGTATATAGGCTAGTACAGCAAGAAATGAGTCCGGCTCCTCTCCTTGCTCTCCTTTCGAGGCCATGGAACATGCTGACTGCATCTCCTCTGAGAGGAGTCTTCCTCGCCAAGCCAGCTCCAGCCTTGTCCAAGATGCTCAGGAACTCATCAAACATATATCTCAACGGTTGGTTTATCCATACTTCTCATTTGTTGTTATGACAACCATGTATATACAGGGAGTGTCGTCGACCACGCTGGCCGTTTGCTGACATCAGCAACTGCAGTGGAGAGGTGGCAGACCTGTCTTTTCTGGTTAACAAGATAATCAGAGTGTTCAGCTATGCCAGCCCTTCAGAGCTCAAGGTTGACTTGTTCTGACACTGTGTTGTAAATAGTTCTCTGGCCACTATTAACCCACAAGGCTAACGTTTGCTGACTTACCTTGGTAACTAAGCAAAATAAATGCGGGGTCGTGTGATAGCGGTGATAGGGTGATAGTTAGGAAATCGTTGGGACAATGACAAACACAAAAGGGCATGCATGTATCACTCACTAATCCCATGTTCTTGATTTTGTTGATGTAGGAAAAATGGGCCCGGAAGGCACTGAACTGGGCAACATCATGCTCCAGTCACCAGTATGCCAGCCAGTCTTTCCAGGTGTGTCGAGCCCTGCAGCTGCCGCTCAGTCCACACATGTTCAGAGAGATCTTAACCAGGCTTGCTGAATCTGCTGCTGATACCAATGAAGACATGCAGGTCTGCTGCAGTAAGTAATACTTGTCTGAGACTAGAAATACCCGAAATGAAAAGAAATGTTTACAGTAACATAGAAAGAAACAGAGCTATGTAATGGAGATTGTGCTGACTCTCGAGTGCGCACTGGACCACCTCCCACTGAATGACGGAGAAGCAGTTCAAGCCTCAGTGAACAGTGGCTCTCTTCAGACAACTTCTGAACCCACACCTGCTCAGAGTAAGTGCCTCTTCCTGTGGCAAGGCTGTGTCCACATTTACACAACTGCAGGTATGGAGTGTCCTCTGTCACCTCCCTCCTCAACGGACAGCATACGGAGACACCACCGGGTCCGCTCCATCACCTCCAAACAGGAAATGATTCCCCAGAGACTAGTGTCTGTTCACGGCCAAATTCATTCGGGGCTCCCCCTGCTTGTTGCTCCTCTGCCCAGCATCTCATCACAGAGTCCAGCTGGGGCTGATGGGTGCAAGGAACCAACTGAGGAATTGAAGTTACTGGAGGAGGTGGAAGAAAGCTCTGGGCCTCCTCCTGAACTGGCAGAAGAGGAGCCAAAAGGAAGAGTTCGGATGAAAATTGCTCCTCTCTCAACTGCTCAGCACCTGCATGTCTCAGGAGGGCAGCAAAAAGCCACTGGAGTGGAGCACTCCCACGCCTTTTCAGACACAGCAGCTCTGTCAAGCAGTGAGGAGACGCCCCATAACCCCTGCTCGTCTTCCCGGCTGAGGAAAGGATCAGAGCACCCACGTCCCTCTTGGCATCTCTGATGGTGGCAAGAAAGCTCACAAGCAGCACAGCTACGAAGAGGAGTCAATGCACCCAAAACAGCATTCCCTGGACAACAGTCACTTGAGTACCTCTCAACCTCACGGGTCACCAAAACACAGGCGTCGCATGAGATCGCCTGTGTTGTCCAGCAAAAAGATGGAAATCCCGAACTCCCTCCCACCCCAGCTCAATCAGACCACCAGCACTCCTCATTTCCCAACAGTCTGTCCACTAAGCCCTGACCAAGGCCTATTCCATCCAGCAGTTGAGACTGCCTCTCCTTAGACCTGGAGGAAGGACGCACCCATCGCAGCTCGTCGACGGCGGAAGCACGAATGCGACATGAACGCCCAAAGCTGCAGCGGCAAAAGCAGAGTGTCCAGAGCACCAGCAAGGAGTCTCTCCTCAGCAGCAATACGTTCAGTGGATCTTTGAATGTTGATGAGCATGAGGGAAGTGGAGAGAGAAGTGGGGAAGGGAGAATGCAGTAGTGTTGTCAACAAGGAGGACCATGAGTGTTGATTCAGTGCCCATGCGCTCCTCTGCAAGGAGCTTTGCTGACATTGTGGAGTC